AATATCATCAACACAAATTACAAAAACTGAAAGCATGCTTTGCCTCTGATCCAAGGCACAGCCTAACAATTTGCCAAGGGCACAGATTGAAGATCATCACATAAGATGTATTCACGTATCCGATCTCTGCTTCTTCCTTTGAAACATGAACATTGACAATTACTTGTCTTGGCTGCTTCTTTTATGGGCAAGGAGGTGAGGATATGTTGTATCAGATCTGTTCTTCCTTATCTGTTCATATTCTTGCTGCATTTTTTAGAATCAAATTCTTTTCGGGCCTGCAACATAGCATAGAAAGTAACAATATGCATACAATGTTGTCCATTAGACTTGATCAACAGTATAGAACACCCCGTCTGATTCATTCGAATGAAGTTTTTTACCAGTCACATGGCAATTACATTTTCATCCAAATCAAACTATAGCTAGTATGGAAGTCCTTACAGCATTCACAGCTCCAAACCATCAAGACGAACTGCTAAGTTAAAGTATTGCTTTGTCGGCGATAGAAGGTCGTGAACAATATAAGCTAAGAAGTTGCCAATCTCCTACTGAAGAGTATTACATTAGACATATTCACATATATGATCTCAGCTTCTTTTGAGACACATTCACACTGTCTAACCTTCTCCAAGAATTCTAGACAACTTCCCCAACTCAACTGATAATCCGGCTTAACGACAATCCTGCTCAGTCGCGGGGCGTTGGCCAACAGAAACCTCAACAGGTCCAGCTCAACCTGGGAGCCTTTATAGTTCCGGACATTGACTTCTGCAAGACGTTGACAGTAACTACCTTCAGCTTCAGGATAGGGAGATCCATTTGATTCAGATTTCAAAGGAACCAATTCCCCCTCAACATTTAAGCCATTAAGTACTAGAGCATTCTGCAAATTTTTAAAAATGAAGGAACATATATAGCCAAAAAAAGGAGATTAAAGCACAAAACAGGTGTAGTGCAAAAGGATTTTGCCCTTAAAAAAAAGGATTTACAAAGGTATCCACGGACCAACCTGAATTGTAAGTTTATACAAGTTAGGGGAACTCCTGATGAGACAAAGGAGAACCTCCAGCTCAAGCAAACACTCATCATGAAAACAATTGCCAATATCGAGAACTTCCAACTGGTGAAGTGCCGTAGGAAACATATCTGGAACAGGACCTGCAGCAAGTAACTAAGACAAAAACCGAACATGCGAGACTGAGCATAACAGATGTTCCAGGCATTTTGGCACAAAAAGAATAGGTTTACATGAAATCAAACTTACTTGGAGACATTCAAAGCTTAGATTCAATTGCTGGAGTGCTGGGAGAGAAGCAAATGTAGAGACTATATCTACAGTAGGAATGTCAGTCGTATTGGACTCATACATCTCCGCTTGAATTGAAATCATAGAAAGCATTGGAGTACAACTGAAGCTAATAGTTTCTACACAATACACCCTAAAGATGCACACTTTGAGACGTGGTGGACCTACAACTTCAAGCTTACGAGGACCCACAACGAAAGAAGCTCTCAAATCGTCAAGTAGCGGGCAGTTGAGAAGGAAACCTTGAAAGAAATCATTGGGCAAACATACTTGTTCTAACTGAAGAACAGTAAGCCTGGTAAATCCCAGAAACCAAGGTGGTACCTTCAATTCACATGCCTGCAGTTTCAAGCTATCCAATTGAAGAGCACGAAAAAGGGAAGAGCTGATCTCTTCACCGAATGAGTGTGGGTCCAAATCGAACAGAAGGGAAAGTGCAGAGATGCCTTTGTTGGAAAGGTAAGAAATCAAGTGATGAGTATCAGCAGCGGCTGTTAATCCAGGAATTGAAAGCACAAACTCGGTTATAGGCCCATCATGAACCTGCAGAGCTTCATGCACTCTCTTGACTAGCTTATTCACTTCTGATTCAGAATCACAGTCCTCCAATTCATCAAACTCATCATCACACACAAGGCGGGTGATATTTCTCCAATGGTACCTCCATTGTCTTGACAGTAGGCTAGTTTTCCCTGCTTCTCTTATGGGCAAGGACGTGAGAATTAGTTGTATCAGATGGGCGGGAAGGCTACTAATTCTATCCACCTCCAACTCTGTACGCACCTTCTTCTTCTTGATCATATTATAACTACACACAAATCAGGAACAAAAATCGAAGTCCAACCAGTTATGAATAGGAAAGAGATAAACCCTAACGCATAACAACTGACCAACCATATATAGACATTGGCCAACGAGGGGACTGATTCGGCGGGAAAAGCTAAAAACTTGTGGAAATGGCAGGAAGTGATAAGTTACAGTACCTGGTAGAGGGTGACTGGATGAGTAACTTTCATCAGGATCTTCAAGGTCGAAATGAACAAACCCTAACCAAATCTTCAGCGAGGAGAATGCAGAGCGACGAAAAAGGAAAAACTAAAATGGGAGACAACGGAAGAAAATGAAAGAAGCTTAAGCACAAGTTGGAACCGGGAACTCTTGTAGTCTTGTATCCATCGAGGCAAAACGACACCACAAGTCGTCGTAGGTAGAAAAGAGAGGCCAAAAGGTGTGTCGTTTTGTGTTTAGTAGCAGCATCAGTGATTCACACTACTATCACTATCGCTCGACGGCGCACTCTGTCAGTCATTTCTCAGAGTCTCTCCTTCTTTCATTCTCGCCCCCATGAACAGGGTCCTAGGGTTTTGCCATCATTTCCCCCTCTATGTATGTGTAGAAATTCATCATTCTCATTTGGGAATTGAACACGATTATCCGTGTGATTCAAGTCTATTCAGTACACAGACTCAGTCAGGATGGAAGGATGGAGCAGAGCCGAGAGGGACGCCAGTCGCCAGCTGAACGTGACACTGATACGAATGTGAGTAGGCAGTGATGAAGATTCACAAGGTTCTGATGGTTCATGGTGGACCAATAACTAAGTTTATGCTTGACGTTCCTGGCTTGATCCCATGTTCTGATATCTATTGGATGATTCTTCACCTTGGGTTCAGCAATTTAGTCCCGTGCTTCCAGAAGTTGAACATTTTGGCAACGACTTGGTTTGTGGGATTTAGCAAAGCTTGCCCGTTTTGTATTGAAAGGATTGCAGCTGTCGGATGGTTTCTTTGAGAATATCATTCCCAAGTGCCCGCTGCTTGAAGAATTGAGGCTTTGAAGTTATGCGCGGTTGGTAAACTTGAGATTGTAGCTCCTGGTCTTAAAGTGCTTTCTCTTCAGTGTGAGTGGATGTCAATCGACTCAAGTTGACCCAACTTCTTTCAGTGGTAACAATTCTAGATATTCATGAAGACAAGTGTTGTTTAGCTACTGATAACTTGTTTCTCCGTTGGGAGCATTGTGGATCTGGACATTGTCACTATATTTGCTTCCCTCCCTGCACTGCAAGTCTGCAACAGATAAATATTGGCTGTGAATTCGGGAAAGTAAGCTTGCTTTTCTCCCCCTCTCGACTTGTTCACATTGTCTGCCTGGGACTTTCTGTCCTCTTTCATTCATACATGTTGTTGGTTTGTATTTGTTAGTACCTTGCTGCAGCCTGCAAGTGATAATGTTCCCACCAGGCTTCCTACACCTCTTCACCACTAAGTCCTGGAAATGCCTAATATAGTCTTGGACAGTTTGCTGGAAGCACGTTTTCTTATTTATTTAATCATGATCTCTTCCAACTTGCGCCGGCTCACCATCCGAGCAAGTCTTAAGTCTTTTCAATAGCATCTCTTTGTGACTAGGGTTGTAACTTTCGTCTTTCTTTATTATCCATCTACTAGCATTACGCCCCCATTAGTATAGCTCCCACCATCATTAGACTTCCCAGTCTTCTTTCTCTTAAAGAGTACAAAATGAAGAACCAAAGGACTATCTCAGGGCACATTTTCTTGCAAAATGCTCTTCAAGGCAGTCATATTTCATATTTGCGAACCAATCTTTATCTTCCCATCCATAATTACTAAGGCAAATTGGTGTCGTATTTTATCAAGTGTTGTATATTCAACATTGGCATTAGTGGTCTTATTGTATACTGACTATTGTTGGCTAAATTTATTCTCTTCGTTAACTGATTTTCTCGCCAAATATTCTTCTTGTAGCGGCATACCGTAGAAGACCATTCATGGTACAAATATCATATCGGCAGCCTATATAATATGTTGTTGGAATCAGAGGAGCTGCAGTCTGATGGATGTGGTAGTAGTCTTCAGTGTCCACAAGTGTTGGACATTCAGGACAGCCAAGGCTTGCAGGTAGAAATGGAGCTGGTGAGGTTTGTGTTAGCCAACGCCTCACATCTTGGCTGAGTCAACATCAGACCTTGGCGTAAATTGGACACTTCAGTTGTTGCGATGTTGTCAAATACCTGACGGAGGTGAATGGATATAAAGCGTGCGTCGAAAGCAGCAAAGGTTATATACGCTTGGGTACTGCATGATGTGAAGATGTTTAGCTTTCCTTCTTCTCGACACTCCAAGGGTGTTGTTACTCAGCTTTTGAAGCGAAAGAGTTTATGGAAGTTTCTGGGCAGGCCTTACTCTGTGCATGTTAGTATTTGCGCAGCTTTGTGTAGATACGACCCCGGCTGGTGCAGTGGGATACCCTTCTCTGTGACGGGCAGATACCGACAGTACTGCTGAATGGAGGTTTGTTACCCGACGAGGAGACACGTGGAGCCGTTGTATGGGAGGGTTCGTGTATTCTCAGACGTTAGATGGCAGTGGTCACAAAGGTATTTCAGTATTGATGGGATTCTATCTATTCCTTTTTATTTTCATTCTTTTCCGGGTCTTTTTGCCCTCTTTGCATTCTCAGAAAAGCGGCGTGTCTTATGGAAACATCTTTGATTCTCTGCCCTTGAGGGTTTAGCGTATAAAAAGGAAGCAACATTGAGTTTTTAGGGTTCTTACATCGTGGCTCCATTCTCTCTGTTTCTTCTCCTTCAAGCGAGAAGCTGCGTGTTATGAAGCTGAGCAGAGAATCCATCTCTTGAATTGGTTGCAGGTAGTGTAAAGCTACGATTATGGAGCTGGGCGAGTCGACTCTTGATAGGATTAGCAACGTTCCGGCCAATGCGATAGAGCAAATTCTGACGCTGTTGCCCATAAAAGATGCAGCGAGAACCAGCATCTTGTCAAGAAACTGGAGGCATCATTGGAGAAGTATTCCTCAACTTGTGTTCGACGGTAGTTTTGCTCCACACCCCAATACTGGACCATATTTGCCAGATGAGAAAAAGGTACTGGTGGACATTTACGAAGCTCTGCTGGTTCATGATGGCCGAGTAACCAAGTTTGAGCTCTCAATTCCTGGATTCAGCGAAGACTGTCAACAGATTTATAAGTTGATTCCTCACCTTGCAAGCAAAGGTGTCCAGGAACTTGCTCTTCGGTTTTCCGTGGGCCAGATCAAGCTGCCTTCCTCCCTGTTTACCGCATGTCACCTGACTGTTTTGAAACTGCAGCATTGTAGTGTTGGTGCACCATCTTCTTTTGTGGGATTTCGTAAGCTGGTGATAGAAACCTACGGTTTCTATTACTACTACTATTATTATTGGGTTTATTATTATTAAGGTTAGTAGTATTTGAGTCATATTAGGTTAGTCTATTAGGTTTTTCGAGTCTTTCGTTATAAATATGTACTCTGGGTCTTTTGTTCAATTAAGCAGAAATCAATAGAAGAATTATCTTCCTAAACCCTAAGCTCTCTCTATCTCCTAATTTCTCTTCGTCCCTAATCCAAGGCTTCGGCCGATTCTTATTCTGTTCTTCCTCTCCTAATCCCAATCTCAAATCCCTAATTCTGTTCTTAATCCCTAAATCCCCAATTCTCGATAGAACCCTAATCCCAGGTTCTATCATTTGCCAAATGATAGAACCTGGGATTAGGGTTCTATCGAGAATTGGGGATTTAGGGATTAAGAACAGAATTAGGGATTTGAGATTGGGATTAGGAGAGGAAGAACAGAATAAGAATCGGCCGAAGCCTTGGATTAGGGACGAAGAGAAATTAGGAGATAGAGAGAGCTTAGGGTTTAGGAAGATAATTCTTCTATTGATTTCTGCTTAATTGAACAAAAGACCCAGAGTACATATTTATAACGAAAGACTCGAAAAACCTAATAGACTAACCTAATATGACTCAAATACTACTAACCTTAATAATAATAAACCCAATAATAATAGTAGTAGTAATAGAAACCGTAGGTTTCTATCATCTCCTCCCCCTTAGAAACCAACCTTGCCCTCAAGGTTGATCGACTTGACCTATGCTTCCGCCAGAGCTAGTTGTCGACTTCGTCGTGCGTTGCGTTTCCTTCTCTTCCAATTGCGCTCAACCCCACAAAGGAACTCTTCTCGCACATCTCCAACTTTTGTTGGCCCATCTCGAGTCACGTGACACATGTCACGCTCTTCACAGACGAACAGTTCGCCATCTTCCTTTTCGAAATTCACGAAATAAGAATCGGAGAATTTTTCTACTTTCCGCTCCCACTTGGGGTCTTCTTGGTAATACTCCATGAAATTTTCCACCAACTTAGTGGCAAGAATAACAACACATAGCTTCTCCCGGCCTTCTTCTTCATTTTTTGCTCGGCCCTCAATTTCTTGACAGAATGTGGCCGGACTTTCTAGCTTCCTCTTACCCTTCCTCTTTTCCATTTCGCGTGGGCTTGACTCACTTACAAGCCCCTCTATCAAATCAACTCCTTCCAAATCTGCCTTCTTCAAGTCAAAGTCCAAGTTGGGCTTAATCCTTCCCAAACTCGGCCCATCTTCTTTTTCTTTCCAACTCATCTCCTTCAAACCATATCCCATAGTGGGCTCAACCTTACCATGCAAAATAGATTTAATGAAATAGCCCAACTCGCTCCAAGCTTCCCTCTTCCTTGTCGGCCCGGCTTCTAATTCTTCATTGGCCCGCTGCACATGATCAAATCCAACAAAGCCCAGCCTTTGATGGACACCCTTCTTCGCTGGCTCTTTGGAACAACCAGCCCATCTTCTCGCCCCATCCGATCCGGCGACCCGAACCGGCGTCCAGCCCACCCGGTCTGGCTGTTGGTTCACTCGACCTAGGGTTAGCAACCCCAAGCTTGCGAGAAGGAAAATCCCGCCGCCACCAACCTCTTCTGTCTTCTTCGTCCTCGTCGCACCGCCCGCCGCCGACGTTTCCACCCGGCGGCTGCGAGTCACGCCGAAATCCGACGCCGCCCTCGGCTCCGGCTTCTTCTTCCTGGCCATCGTCGTGGCGCATGGAGATGACAGCGACCGCGGCGCCTCTCTCGCTTCTTCCTTCGAAATCGCCGCCACGACGAGGGCGGTCACCGATCGCTGCACTCCTCCCTCGATTCCCGATCTGGGCGATTCCCCTCCGCGGCCCAGCATCCCCTTCCCGCGTTGTTGCTCGCCGTTCGACGTCGCCGCCAACAACCGCACGCCCGACTCCGTCGCGCCGCTTTCTGGACCCGCCTCCCTGGTCTTCGGCGAGTCAACCCGGCGGTTCGGCTTTTCTTCCTTCTTCGACTTCCCTTGCGTCGAGCTCCCCTCCCGGCGGCTAGGAGATTGGACGAGTTCGCGACTCAATCCGGGCCACGGCTCCTTCTCAGTCGTAGCTGCCACTGGGCTTGGTTTCAATCGCTCGCCAGGGCCCGCCGCACCTGTTACCTTCTTCTCTTCCCGTCGCGAGCAAATCGTCCGGCGATGGAGCTCCTTGCCCGCTTCTGGACCAACCGGGGCCCAACCCGCCAGCGATTGAACTCTCGTCTCCGTTGCCTTCTGCCGATCTTTCTTTTCTTTGAACTCAAGGTCGTCTCCAGACCTCTGATTCTTTTTCCTAAACTTCCAGTTAACTCCGCCATTCTTCACTAGTGACTCTCCCATTGGAGTTTCACATTCATTCTCCTCAGCGTGCGACTCGACCACCTCTACCGAAGGAATTTTCTTTGAGATTGGAACAGCCGTGGTTGGTGGTGGCTGTGACGCTGTGCTTAGAACGCCGGCCGCGGTTGGTGAGGATTGCCCCGTTCTCTTAGCTGAGGACAAGGTCTTGTTGTTGGTGATTGGCTGCTCGGTGGTGATGATGTTTGGGATGGCAGCTGATGGCGAAATAGGCTCCGAGACAGTCTCCTCGACTTCCTTCGCGGTCGTTGTCGTTGGAATGGCGATGGTAGTTGGTGGTGATGACGCCCTCGTCCTGGCTTCAGCAGGTCGTGGGATGGCTGCGGCAGGAGTCACAAGATCTCCTCCTTCGATCTCGCCATTGTCGGTCGCCTCAACCGGCTCAGACGACTGCAGTGGTTCTGCTGCGTTGTCGACGCCAGCTGCCTCTGCAGTCTTCGCCGCTCTGACTTTCGCTTCGTGGTTCCAGCGGGCTAGAGTCTGCCGTAACAAGTCTTGCAATTGATACCACTCCAGATCAAAGAGCTTTGAAGCGCTCATTCTGGATATAGATTGTGACAGAATGCTCCCTGGTTGAGAGTTATGACGAACTCGCTCTCGAAACCGGGCTCTGATACCAAATGATAGAACCTGGGATTAGGGTTCTATCGAGAATTGGGGATTTAGGGATTAAGAACAGAATTAGGGATTTGAGATTGGGATTAGGAGAGGAAGAACAGAATAAGAATCGGCCGAAGCCTTGGATTAGGGACGAAGAGAAATTAGGAGATAGAGAGAGCTTAGGGTTTAGGAAGATAATTCTTCTATTGATTTCTGCTTAATTGAACAAAAGACCCAGAGTACATATTTATAACGAAAGACTCGAAAAACCTAATAGACTAACCTAATATGACTCAAATACTACTAACCTTAATAATAATAAACCCAATAATAATAGTAGTAGTAATAGAAACCGTAGGTTTCTATCAGCTGGTCATTCTTGAGCTTAAACATGTTATCATGCCTGAAGATTTCCTTCAGAATTTACTGCCGGTGTGCCCCCTGCTTGAAGAGTTGCGGTTTTTAAACTCTAGCAGGCAAAAATATGTTCTTAACGCGCCATCTCTAAAAGTGTTTATATTTCACCCGCATGTTTCGGGCTCGGAGTTTACGCTCCAGCATGCGCCAGTGCTTTCAGTGCTATCACTTCCAAATGGTTGGAGGTTTAAAGATTGGTTTGCAGAGTTTGCTTCTCTCCCTGCGCTCAGGAAGCTGACATTTGGAATTAGTTCGCTGAAAGTAAGTTGATCAATTTGTGTCTATATTTGTTCATCATGAATGTGGTTACCGCTTCCAGGAAGCACCTGGTTTCTGTACTGATTCGTTGCCTCTATTTGTTTGCTTTCTGCAGTTCTCTGATGTGGGTAATGCAGCCTACAAGCTAACTACAACCGTCTACCAATTAAACGTCGTTGAAATAACTCGCCTTCTTCTGGATAACTTGCCACAAGCACGGCTTCTTATTTGGCTGATCATGAGTTCCCCCAGCTTGCAAAAGCTCACCGTTCGGGTTGGTTTTTACACTTCTTTTGTAGGCTATATATGTGGGTACATTTGTTAATAACTCTTTCAGCCTTTGACTTGTTTTTTTTTATTTTTTTGACAAAACTTCCTTTTAGTTGGGTACTAGTATTGCCCAGCCGTCTTCAGAAGTTATCAATAGCCTACAGGAGTTGTTGGAAGCAGAGGACCGACCTGGAGTTTGTTGCCTTCAACATCTTGAAGAGTTGCACATTCAGGTTGGCCAAGGAACACGAGTCGAGCTGGACCTGGTGAGGTTTGTTATGGCCACTGCCCCACAACTTCGTGTGATCTCGATTAAGTGTGCAGTTAACCTGTCGGCTGACAAGATTCTAAAATTCTCGAGTGAGTTGTTATCGTATAAGCGTATCTCCAAAGACGCAGTGGTCAAATATGTCTACGAAAGATGATGTTGAGTTGAGATACTTCATAGGTTTTACATCTCTTGCCCTTTGGGTCGTTGTCCACCTACTTTCATGGTGCTTGATTCTTTTGTTCTCGTTTCTTCTTTTCGCTGATTAACGCGAGGGTGTTTGATCCTAGTTGGATTAAGAAGTTTTGAAGGGTTGTCGAACAGTCCAATTTGAAAAGTTTCAGTAATATTTTCTTTTAGGGAACATGAGTTATGTAAATCTAGGTTGATTTATTCAGCGCATTGAGGTGAACAATATTGTAAAATTTGAGTGGCTGTTTACTCTATTATTATTAGGGTCAAATTAAGTATGTACTTGCAACTTGCAAGTGGATTGGGTATTTGGTGGGTGATTAAGGTCCGGTGGGTTGATCGTTCTACATGATGCAATTCTAAAGTGTCATTGATATGGTAAGGGTTGCAATTGCAACTTTAAAGTGTAATTGATGTGTGATGTCATTATAACTTATAAGTGAAGTAAATTTGCGCATTATGCAATTTTTATTGCAATTCAAATAGCCTTTGGTGGGCCATTTTATATTCATTAGTTTATATATTTTAAGGGTTTAAATAGAGATGGTGTATAGATGATTTAGTTATATTAAATTAATTTTTTGCTCCCATCAATTAAAATTGCAATAAAATTTCAATGATGTAGATTAAGATGAAATTGTGAGATATTTTTTAAAAAAGTTGTATACGTGGAAGTAGGGACGGCTTATAAAATTACAAATAATGTCATTGTTTGAAATGCTTTGATCCTATAAAGGAACAAATCTAGTTGATACCAATTTGGAGAAAGTTCAATGGAGATAAATAACTAGAGAGGGAATTTGGTTTGTATGGCAATTCCTTTCTGGATATGAATATGTATGGAGAAGACAACTATTTGGTACTTTTGTTTATTTTTCTTGTATCTTTTACACTATATTTGGAGAGATGTTGGTTAAGGAGGAAAGTGCGGTAATGTTAGAGGTGTAAATGGTAGGCGCGTAAGTGGAGGGAAAAATTGTATTTAAAATAAAAAAGTAGGTTCAAATAAGATGAAAAGTAAGTAAATTATATTATTTTTCAAATTTATAGAAGGTTATCACAAAATAATAACATAAAAATTTATATAAAAATTTAAATGATTATAAATACAAGTTAGTAAAAGTAATTATTAAGACATTAATCTTTAAATAGTAATTAATTAACATAATAATATAATTTTAGATTGAAAAATCATTCTTAAATTACTCTCAAAATTTCCAAAATCCAAAAAGATGCCCTCTTTTAAAAATAGTCATAATGTCATCTAATAAAACTTGTATTACTTGACACAATGTCTATATCTTTATAAATCTACATGATACATATTGATGTTATAATTAAATTAACATTCACACAACTTATCATGCCAAAGCTATGTGATCCACGCGTACTCATACCAAATCACGTTGAAATTGTGTGATTCACACAAACTCGTACTCATTCATGCTAAAATTATTAGATTCATGCATACTCATACCCATTCGCACCAAAACTATGTTGTTCACGCTACAACTTATGTTAGGAAATATTTTGATAATATATGTTGAAAGGTGAAAAATCAATCTAATTGCTCAAGATCTCTAAAATTCAAAAAGGGTGCCATCTTTTATAAAATTTCATATAATAAAATTTGTAGTGCTTGACACGACGTATATATCTTTCTCTACACTTGAGCTCGGATTCTTTGACAAAAATACTTAAAAACCTGAAATCACACCTAAATACAACCAAAATATAAAAGGAAGCAGTTTGTGGCCAAATCAAGAGTTAATGGCGTTTTGTATGAGTGCTCTAATCCATAAGAAATATCCAAGAAATGAGGGCTAGATATCAGTATTTTAGTTGTTATCATCCTCCGAAGTCCTAACCTATTAGAATAGGGATCCTTTTATATTTTATTAAATAATCAAATTAGATTAAAATGTTACACCAATGAAGTGAATTGTATGATCCGACTGCGGTCTTACCAGTTTATACCAATTTTAACAAAATATGTGGGTAGTGGAAAACATTAATTTTAAATAGAATATGCACATATAATCTATCTTCATATTTAATAAAATAAGTTTAGGATATTCTGACCACTCTTTTTTTAATCTTTTTCCAACTCAACATTCTCGGAATTAATAGTGTTTTCTTTTAAGTGCCAATAGTCAATCATCCTCATCATACTGACCGATTTCACCTATCTTGACCGACTTTGCTAACCGAGGGTATTCCAGCCGGTTTTATCCCCGATATCAATCACAACCTTTGAACCAGCCAACATGAAACTGGTTTGACAACTTTCATCATTTACTTTAAAAGGATTTTCTAACAAAAGTTGTAGTGCTTGAAAAATTATGCAAAATGATTTTTTTTCCTTCAGACGAATAATCGAGCACAAAATTATGTCCATATAAACTTTCGAAGTATATTAGGGGAAATTTGTGTGGCCTCCAACAGTTTTTTGGCAAGATCACTTGGTCTAAAGCGATTTTGCAAAATCATTTTCCACAACAATAATTTTGGTAGATAATAAAGACTCTAGCGATCTTGTTACAACTTACAAAGATTGCTGGAGTCTGGAGATCCCTACGGTTTTGTCCGATCTAAGTATTTTGAAAAAACAATAGTAGTGTGCCATTAAAATTTGCTTATGTAAATTAGATAGTTTAAGAAAAAAATCATACCAAGCAAGAAGAGTTAAAGGATTTATTTTCTTAATCTAAAAGGAAAAAATAAATAGAATAAAAGTTAGTAGGATCTCCGTCTCATCTAGTTTGTTAGAATTCCCAGTTTCCCACCCAATTTATCATATACCCATATTCTCAATTCTCAACTCTTTCCTCTCTCATAATGAAATAATATTTTCTCATTACATGTTCATGTCTCTCCTCTACGGACAAGGAAACTTTTCCTATCCTATAAAAAGAAAGCAACTTGGGGTATGTTTTTAGGGTTCTTTTCTTTTCTTTGTGAAGCTGCGCAGAGAATCGATCTCTTTGAATTCGACGCACACATAGTCTAAAGCCAACGACAATGGAGCTGCGCGGACCGGCTTCTGACAGAATTAGCGACGTTCCGACCAATTTGATAACAGAGCACATTCTGACGCTGTTGCCCCTAAAAGACGCAGGGAGAACCAGCATCCTGTCTAAAAACTGGAGGCAACACTGGAAAAGCATTCCTCAACTCGTCTTCGATCGCAATTTCGCTCCAGTACTCCCCAATACGACACCGAATGATACCAAACTAACATCGAACATTCACGAAGCCCTGCTGCTTCACGACGGTCCAGTAACCAAGTTTGAGCTCTCATCAATTCCTCCTGGAGTGGGAGAAGGCCTTTTACATAGGTTGATTCCTCACTTTGCAAGCAAAGGTGTCCAGGAACTTGCTCTTCGGTTTCTGTCACGACCTTACTCTCGATCGTGCGGCCCTAGCTCTCAAATCCGTTAGAGCGCTAGGCAGCCTTTCTCTCAACTCACTTGAAAGCAAAGAACAAGAACAAGACAGAGGAAGTGGGAGAACTCTCAAGTGTGTATTACTCTCAAAAATGATGGAATGAGTTACAAGTGAGGGAGATGGCTCCTTATATAGGCCTCTCCTCATACAAGGCATCAATGCCCCTCATAATGTCCCTCTACTACATCAATACACCCATTAAGTCCCCCCATTATGCACTCTATAAATACTACCATAATGTAGCTAATAAGTGCACCATTAAGCTCTCTATTAAGGTGGAGAATCCTAGGAGCATCTCTATGCTACTAGTCTTCCATGCATGACACATGTGCAGCCTTGTTGTCACCTTGTTGGCGCCATGTCATCGGCCACATGTGACATCCTCCCCCACCTATGCTCGCGACGCCCTCGTCGCGTCCTCTTGATGGAATGCCTCGATCAAGTCCTTGTTCTTCCAAAGCGTAAGCTCTTTCTCCCAAGTTGCTTCACTTTCCGGAAGGTTGCGCCACCTGACCAAGTACTCCACAAAGCTTGGATGTACGCCACGACGAGGAATGACACGACGCGCCATGACTTCTTCAACTTCATGGTCGTGTGTCTTAGTGATGAGTGTTGGAGCGCGTTGCGACTCTCTTCGCTGCTCATCATCCTTGTCTTCGTGGAAAGGCTTGAGTTGGCTCACATGAAAGACCGGATGGATCTCCAAGTGCGTCGGCAACTCAACCTTGTATGCCACCGCGCCAATCCTCTTCACGATGGGGAATGGCCCTTCATAGCGGCGAAGCAGTCCCTTGTGCACGTTCTTGAGATGCTTGAAGCGATAAGGGTAGAACTTGATCATCACCATGTCTCCCTCTTCGAATTCTAAGTGCCGCCTCTTCTTGTCCGCCCATTTCTTCATCTTCTTACTAGCGCGGGCTAAGTAAGACTTGGCCATCTCCATCTTCTCGTGCCAGCCTTTAGCGAACTTGTAGGCTGCCGGACTGTTGCCTCTATACCCCGTTGCCACCGTCGTAGGTGTCAAAGGTTGCTGCCCCGTCGCCAACTCAAATGGACTCGTGTTGGTCGACTCGCTGCGGTGCAAGTTGTAGGAGAATTGTGCCGTATCCATCAACTTCACCCAGTCTCGTTGGTTTGCACTCACGTAGTGTCGCAAGTACACTTCCAACAAGGCATTCACCCGCTCCGTCTGTCCGTCGCTTTGAGGATGAAACGCCGTCGAGAAGTTCAAGTCTGAGCCCATGATCTTGAACAACTCTCGCCAAAATCTGCCCGTGAAGCGCCCATCTCTGTCGCTCACGATGTTGCTAGGAACGCCCCAATACTTGACCACGTTCTTGAAGAATAGTCGCGCCGCATCCTCTGCCGTCATGTCTTTTGGGCCGGGAACGAACACTCCATACTTCGAGAATCTGTCCACCACAACCATGATGCAACCGCACCCATCGACTTTGGGAAGTCCGATGATGAAGTCCATGCTTACACTCTCCCATGGTCGTTGAGGTGTGGGCAAGGGCTCTAGCAAGCCTGCCGGGCTTCTCTGCTCCATCTTGTCTTGTTGGCACACAAGACAAGTCTTCACATACATCTCCACGTCGTCTCTCATACGCGGCCAGAAGTATGCTTCTTCGATGAGCGCTTGCGTTCTCTCGATGCCGGGATGGCCCGCCCACTTGGAATCATGGCACTCCTTCATGATCTCCTTCCTCAAGTTGGCCCACCTTGGCACGAACACTCGCTCTCCCTTGGTCATGATGAGCCCATCCTTCATCCAAAACCGTCGAGTCTTGCCTTGCTCGATGTACTCCGCTACGGTTTTGGCGAAGGGGTCATGGCCAAGGCCTTCAACGATCCGCTCCTTCAAAGGAAACATAGGCTGGCTGATGCTTGCGGCTGCACTCTTGCGGCTAAGAGCATCGGCAACGGAATTCGCCTTGCCTGGATTGTACTCCATGACGAAGTCGAACTCGGCCAAAAAGTCTTGCCACCTCGCTTGCTTGGGGGTGAGCTTCTTCTGCGTAAGAAAGTAGCTCGTTGCCACGTTGTCCGTCTTCACTACGAACTTTGACCCCAACAAGTAGTGCCTCCATGTGCGCAAGCAATGCACCACGGCCGTCATCTCCTTCTCTTGAACGGTGTATCGCCTCTCCGTCTCGCTAAGCTTCCGACTCTCGAAGGCAATGGGATGCCCATCTTGCATCAACACTCCTCCTATTGCGAAGTCGGACGCATCGGTCTGCACTTCGTAGGCCAACGTTGGGTTGGGGAGCACGAGCACGGGCTCCTTTACCACTGCTTGCTTCAAGGCCTCGAATGCTTCTTGGCACCTTTCCGACCAATCCCACGCCTTGTTCTTCTTCAAGAGATCCGTCAAGGGTGCTGCAATGTTGGAGTAGCCCTTGATAAACCTCCGATAGTAGTTGGCAAGGCCGAGGAATGACCGCAACTCTGGCACCTTCGTCGGCGGCTCCCATTCTTGGATTGCCTGCACCTTCGCTCCATCCATCTTCAACTTGCCTCCACCAATGATGTGCCCCAAGAATGGAACCTCCGTGGCGGCAAATGTGCACTTCTCCCTCTTGACGTACAACTCGTTGTCGCGAAGGACTTGGAAGACTTGGCGTAGGTGCTCGGCATGCTCGTCGAGTGTTTTGCTATACACGACGATGTCATCCAAGTAGACCACGACAAACCGGTCCAAGAATGGCTCGAACACTTGATTCATCAAAGTGAAAAACGTGGCTGGTGCGTTGGTGAGACCGAATGACATCACAAGAAACTCGTAAGAGCCATACCTCGTCACACAAGCTGTCTTTGGCTCGTCGCCCTCTGCTATCCGCACTTGATAGTAGCCCGAGCGAAGATCTAGCTTGGTGAACCACATAGCATCTCCAAGCTGGTCGAACAGATCGCCAATGTTGGGAATCGGCCACTTGTTCTTCACCGTCAACTTGTTGATGGCTCGATAGTCGATGCACATGCGCAACGACCCTTCCTTCTTCTTTTGGAACAGCACCGGTGCTCCAAAAGGTGACTTCGATGGCCGCATGTAGCCTGCGTCCACCAAGTCCTTGAGCTGCCTCCGCAACTCCTCTAACTCTGGTGGCGACATGCGGTATGGTGCTCGCGAAGGGGGCTTCGCTCCTGGCTCCAACTCGATCTTGTGGTCCACCTCTCTTCTTGGTGGCAGCTTCTTGGGCAACTCCGATGGCATCACGTCGTCGAACTCTTCGAGGACGCCTTCGATGATGGGAGTTGTGATTCCCGCTGAGCCTCCTTCTTCCTCCATTTTCAAGGACACAAGAAAGGTTGGTTCATTCTTCTTGAACCCCTTCAATACCTGCATGGCCGATAGAGCACTATGGGGGCCATCTTCTCTCAAGAGATGGATCGTGTGAAACTCCCCCTCCTTCTCCAAGCACATCGTGTTGGAGTTGGGCTTCAAGAGCACTCCCTCCTTGTCGAGGAAGTTGATGCCGAGGATGACTGGGTGATCATCCATGGTGACGACGGAAAAGTCGATGAGGCCTTCCCACTCGCCAAGCCTCACTGGCACGTTGTGAGCAACTCCATGGATGGGGATGGACTCCGAGTTGATCGTCTTGAGCCTCCCTTGCCCCTTCTCGTAAGCAATACCCAGCCGGTTTGCCTCCTCGATGCGAAGGAAGTTGTCCGTGGCACCGGTATCCACCAAGGCTTTTGACTCGCCTTGCATGAATTGCGCCAGAACATAGCACCTCCCACGCTTGCTCTCCTTGACGTCGGTCTTTGCCGCGCCAAGCTTGCGGATTGAGCCAATCTTGGCCTCCGCCGCCTTGGGCTCCTCTTCTTGAGCTTCCATGGCCGCCAATCTCGCCTTCCTTGGACAATCCCGCACTCGATGTGGTCCGTCGCAAAGGAAGCAAGACATGGGTTTTGGCTCGTACTTAACCCCTTTGCTCGAACCACCTTGTTGTTGAGCGCGAGTGCCCTCCTTGAAAGGCTTCTGCTGTTCTCCACCCTTGTTGGGCTTCGAACTCTTCTCTTTGCCGCTGCTCTCTTGCCTTTTGTACTCGACAAAAGACTCCGCCGTGGCCATGGTAGTTGCAAGGTCTTGCACTCCTCGACGTTGCATCTCCATCTTGGCCCATGGTTGCAGCCCATCAAGAAAGCCGTGCATGGCCTCCTTGTCCGTGATGTCCGGGATCTCTAGAAGCAGCTCCGAGAATTCTTTCACGTATTCTCGAACTCCACCCCTCTGGGTGAGTCTTCTCAACTTCGAACGGGCTTCAAACTCCACGTTCTCCGGGTAGAACTGCCTCTTGATTTCTCTCTTGAAATCTTCCCACGTTACCATCACACAAGTACCTCTTTCGACGTCCGCTTCACGTCGCCTCCACCACACCATTGCAACATCGACCAAGTATAGTGGAGCGGTACGAAGTTTTACCTCATCCTCTTGGATGCCGGATGCCTTGAAGTATTGCTCAAGACTCCAAAGGAAGTTCTCTAACTCCCTCGCGTTCCTTGAACCTCCGAAGTTCTTCGGTCTTGGAACATCAGCACGTGGGACGGATTGCACCGGGGCTGGTCCGTTAGCCATGGCTCTCTTCACGAGAGTGACCTCACTCTTGAGGTCTGCAATCTCCTCCTTCACGCCGACCAGCTCAGCCTGGACTTGCTCTTTCACAACTTCAAGGGCGTTGTTCATGGAGGCGGTGATGGTGTTGTTGATGAGGGCCACAAGCTCTTCCCGCATCCCATCGTGGTTGATCTCCAAGCTTGTCAACCGACCCGCCATTCCTTGAACATCGCCTTGGACTTGGGCGAAGTTACCTCCCAAATCCTCGATGGCGGTGATGTCTTCCGCCAACTTCACTTCCACTCGAGAGACTCGCCTCTCCAGTGCCGCCATAGGATCACGAGTGCTTGACTTGTCACCCTTTGGCTTGGGATGCTTGGTTTGATCCCTTCCGCGCCTCTCTTGCTCGGCGGTAACGCCGCTGTCTGATCCCGACATTTTTGGTGAGGTTCTTCCTTTCCTTCTGGCTCAGGTTCAACTTTGCTAGCACAAAGCCGAACCAGGCTCTGATACCACTTGTCACGACCTTACTCTCGATCGTGCGGCCCTAGCTCTCAAATCCGTTAGAGCGCTAGGCAGCCTTTCTCTCAACTCACTTGAAAGCAAAGAACAAGAACAAGACAGAGGAAGTGGGAGAACTCTCTAGTGTGTATTACTCTAAAAAATGATGGAATGAGTTACAAGTGAGGGAGATGGCTCCTTATATAGGTCTCTCCTCATACAAGGCATCAATGCCCCTCATAATGTCCCTCTACTACATCAATACACCCATTAAGTCCCCCCATTATGCACTCTATAAATACTACCATAATGTAGCTAATAAGTGCACCATTAAGCTCTCTATTAAGGTGGAGAATCCTAGGAGCATCTCTATGCTACTAGTCTTCCATGCATGACACATGTGCAGCCTTGTTGTCACCTTGTTGGCGCCATGTCATCGGCCACATGTGACAGGTTTCCCGCGGGTCAGACGTCCAAGCTGCCTTCCTCCCTGTTCACCGCCTGCCGCCACCTGACGGTTCTGAAACTGCAGCATTGTAGTGTTGATGCGCCACCATCTTCTTTTGTGGGATTTCCTAAGCTGGTCGTTCTTGAGCTTGAACATGTTATCATGCCTGAAGATTTCCTTCAGAATTTACAGCCGGAGTGCCCCCTGCTCCAAGAGTTGAGGGTTCTACACTGTAGCAGGCAAGAATATATACTCAACGTGCCGTCTCTCAAGTTGCTTTTCATTAAGTTGAGTGGTTCCGGTTTCAACATTACGTTCCGGCATGCTCCAGTGCTTTCAGTGCTATCGCTGACAGATGGTTGGACGTCTAAGAATTGGTTTGCACTGTTTGCTTCTCTCCCTGAGCTCAGGCAGCTGACTTTTGGAATTCGTTCGCTGCTGGTAAGTTAGGAGGTCATAATTTTATTAAACACAGGAAACACACTTTCAAACACGAGCGAGATTGATTTCCTGTGACCAAAGAATTTTTCTTCCTTGTAGTCTCTCTTATTTGTTTGCTTTCTGCAGTTATTTGATGAGGGTAATGCAGCAGCCTACAAGAGATCTAAAACTTTCTACCAATTAAAATTCCTCGAAGTAACTCGCCTTCTTCTGGATAACTTGCCACAAGCACGGCTTCTAATTTGGCTGATCATGCGTTCCCCCAACTTACAAAAGCTCACCATTCGGGTTGGTTTCTACACTTGTTTTGTACTATATTTGGTTAATTCTTCAGTCTTTAACTTCTTCTTTTTTTTTTTAACAAAACTTTCTTATAGTTGGGTACTAGTAGTACTGCCCAGCCGCCTTCAGGGGTTATTGATACCTTACAGGAGTTGTTGGAAGCAGAGGACCGACCTGGAGTACTTTGTTGCCTTCAACATCTTGAAGAGTTGCACATTCAGGATAGCCAAGGTGCACGAGTCGAGCTGGACCTGGTGAGGTTTGTTATGGCCATTGCTCCACACCTTCGTGTGATCTCGATTAACAGTGCAGTTAACCTGTCGTCGTCTGATAAGGTTTCGGAATTCTTGAGTGAATTGGTATCCTACAAGCGTATTTCCAGAGACGCGGTGGTCAAATATGTCTAGGAAAAGATGAGGTTGAGTTGAGACACTTGTTAGGTTTTACCTCTCTGGCCCTTTGGGTCGTTGTCCACCTAATTTAATTCATGGTGCTTAATTTTTTTTTTTTTTTTTTTTTTGTTCTCGTTTCATCTTTTCCCTGAATGATCCTGTTGGATGCAGAAGTTTTGAAGGGTCTTGGATTTATTCAGTGCATTGAGGTGAATAATATTCTCAAATTTGAGTGGCTGCTTTCTCTGCAATATTATTGGTGTCATATTAGACCATAGCTCGCTTATTAATGGATAAAAACTACCCACGCAATCTTCATATATACTTAGTGAGTGGATTGTGTATTGAGCTGGGTGATGAAGGGTAGGGCGGCAAATTAATTAAGCCAAATTGCTTAAGAAGGTCTCTTTATTCGACTTGGAAAACTTATTCGACAATCGACTTGTTAGGTTGAGCTAAGCATTGTTCGGCTCGCAAGGTTCGTGAGCCGGTCAACTCGACTCGGTTGCTTGTGGAGATCAACTTAAGAGCTAGCTCATTTTGAGCTATGAGTTGGCTCGACAGTATAACTTGCGAGTCATCTCAACAAGCAACTTATCAGCGGATCGGTTATTAATTATCATTGACTTGTTGATAATTCCTTGGTTTATTAGATTATATATCTCATCACCTATGATGTTTAAGAATTTGAGTTCGTGGTTAAATAGATCTCAATTATAATTTAAAAGAGAAATTATGTATTATAGATTGCTCATGTACTAATTAATATGAAATAACATGATATAAACAATTAAAATTTATGAACTAAATGATATGACGTCTTATCTCGAGACGATCCCGTGAGCACAATAAAGAGTTGAGATCAAGGCAAGCTCGAGTTAAACACAAGCCAAGATTTTAGTAACCAAGTTGAGCTCGAGGTTGACTCGTTTATTAACGTCCCGAGCCCAAAATAGGTCAAAACTCGGCTCGACTCGGCTCATTTGCCGCTCTAAAGGGTACGACTAGTAACCAGTTATCATGTAGTGGTGTAATCGATAATCGAACCAGAATCGGTGGTTAACGGTTCCAACGATAACCAATTAAAGCATAAACAGACAGTTCCTGGTAGCCAAATTTAGTTGATTACTAATCGACAGTTAAACTGTTAGCAACCAATAGTTAAATGATTAATTAGCCAACTAACTGATTACAGACATCCTCGTGGTTAGGACCGACAATAATAGGCATCAATGAGTCATAGTCATAGGCAAAAAAATAATGGAATGTTTGAAGGTCTACCAGATCCCTTGCCTCCCTAGTTCACTAGTTGTAATAGTAACTTAGGTTCAAATGAGAATAATTTTAATGAAGGGCTTTAGTAGGAGCAAAATACAAAGTTAGACTTGCACATAGTAGCTCAACAACAATATGTTAAATTTAAGCTTCCATGTATCTTCTGGGGTTTATGAGTAGAGTAATTGTTGTTAGGTATATTATTCTTGTCTCATTCTTTAATCAAATTTGTCGATAGAATGGTGTTTTTGCGTGCTTGTGTTGGATTGAGTTGATCATGGATTAATATCTATGTTAAATTATTTTATACTCAATGATAGCAAATTAAAACACAACATGGGTTTGAAGATGAGAATTGACCGTTTTTAATACATATTTCTTTTGAAGAAATGATTTGGTAATATATGTGAATACAGATTAGTGAGATTATTTTAACGTATGTTGAATATAAACATAATCTATTTGGTAGTAGAGATTTTCTCGCATACTATTTTAATGACTTTACTTGATTAGGACCGACCCACTAATCTGATTCTTCCCAACCCGCCCCAACCTAAAGGGTCAGAAAGAGTCAATAAGAAAATACGAACGGAGAGGATTAGTCATATATCTTGACTCTTCAGAAGTGGGTCAAACAGGACCAAGGTTGGGTGAGGGAAATTTTTAGCGCTAAGCAGAGTTCTGGGTTGAATAACTTTACTTAGGCTTAGAAATTGGTCATCATTGAATTAGTCCTGGGCATCCCTCCCCGTTGTCGCTCTGAATTCTAATGATGGCTTCATTCCTTGCACCAGCCATATCAGCGAGTTGTCATCTCGAGCATGATTTGCCTATGTACAAATGATACAATTAGAGTATGAAACTGAATTCAAAGAAAAGGAAAAGAGAATTCTAACACATGCCAATAAATACACACATAATAGTTGAAGCTAAGTGAAAGTCATTACTCGCACATCAATTCTCAAAAATTACATACTAAACAATGGCTAGAATGGCACTGAAACTACCAAGAATCATGGACGAAAAAACTTGTCAAATTAAGTAATCCTTATACTGAAACTACCTTCTAACTTGAAATAAGACATTATCACAGTTCATAGCACTCTTATCACTATGAATTGGTTGCAGCTCGTCCTTATCACTGACTCCCAAGCTCAATTCAAACAGAATAGAGACCGTTATGTAAGATAACCATATCCTTACTGATCATAATTCCTTTCTTCACTCCCGTTAGTAAATTTTATGTACTAATTATAAGAAAAAATAATTTCGGGTACCAAAAAAAGTACTGTGTAAATTAGAGTCGACCCACTAACCCGACCCATCCCGACTCGTCCCATCCCTTGAGGGTCAGACATAGTCAAGAAGGAGACAGGGACGAGACGAGACAATTATACATCTTGACCCTTCAAGGATGGATCAGATAGGGTCAGGGACGGGTCAGGGCAAATTTCAGCCCTAAATCAAACCAATATAGGACATGAATCAAATGAGTTCCACCAAATTCTTGACTCGCATGAAACTACACTATAAATTAATCCCGAATAGAGTCTAAGTTTCTAAACTCTGGTCGGGTGCAGTATAGAGCAAGTATTTAAATATCGACTCGGGGCGGTCCATGCACCCCTACTTCAATCGCTTAAGTTGTTATCTAGCAAAACAGTTTTGGGTTTTAAGACTAAGAAAACTACAAACTAAACTATCAAAGAAAAGTAAATAAAGGAAAACTCTAACTAAGGGAGCTTCACCCAGGAGTTGCTTCCCCCTAACTAGCTAGCACGACTCGTTGGATTGAATGGAGTTGTGTGGCGGAGGTGGTTGTGAACCGCGGGGGTGAGCAACTAGTGATCAATTTGTCACGGGATCGATCCACTCACCAAGTCTAGGGAAACCACTAGGAGGAGCAACTAGTGATCCATTTGTCACGGGATGGATTCACTAGAGATCGATTTGTCACGGGATCGATCCCTCACTCAGTCACTAGTGGTTGCCTAGGCCTCTCCCTCAAACCGGAGTTTGAACGGCTTAATCACAGCCAACCTAGATGCAAACTTGAGTCAAAGGTATCTAACCTAGATAGTGGGCATCAACATGCACAACCCTTAGATTGCTAAGCACAATTATGCACAAACCTTAGGTTGCTAAGCACGAACATGCACAATCACAATGAAAACTCCTCTAATACTCAAATTGATGCAAACCCACACTTAATCATTCAAACTAAACAAGTAATTACAAAGTATTAATTAGGGATCTACAACACCCAAGAGAAAAGAGTGAGTTTCTAGAGAGAGAGGGATTACAAATTATAGCTCAAGATCTTCTTCTTCTTCTAGGCTTGAATCTTCCACCCAAGCCTCCAATGATGCTCCAAGATCACTCTAGCACTCTCTCTCTCACTAGAACTCCCCTTTGGTGTTTTAGGTTGAAACCTTAGAGAAAGAAAGTGTTTCTTCTCTAAAAACTAGCTCTCCAAAACAAGCTCTCCTTTTCTCTTTCCTCGCTGCTGTCTTCATATTTGCCCGAACGTGATCAGTTCACGGACGCGTTGGCCAGTTCACGGCCGTGAATACCTAAACGCGTCCGTGAACTCAGCGTCGCCCTTCACTGTCCTGGGTTCACGGTCAATGGCCCCAGTTCACGGTCTTAGAGACTGTGAACTACCTTGTCGTCAGTAACTCCTGGAACCTCCCTGGACTGCTCGATGTTCACGGTCTTTTATGCATGTTTACGGTCTTAGGAGACCGTGAACTGCCTTGTCCGGGCGTGAACTGCGGCTATTTCTTGGACACCTTCACTTCACTGTTACGAGGCAATTGTCCCGGTCGCCTTCGGACTTTTCTTCGGTTTTTGCACTTTTTGACCTCCAATTATCCCAAAATTCGACATCGACCCTTCCACACGTGCGAGGACCTGAAATGTATCAAAACAAGCAAACCTAGCGTGAAATATGTCGAGGAACGATGAAATACTAAGCTAAACGAATAAGAAATGAGGGGTAAAACGTGTACATTTGAGCCCGAATCATTTCTCAATTGTGTCTCCCTAATTCGAGTGTACCAAAGGGAGGTTATTGGTGGGAGAGAAGCTGAGAAGAGGGAAGGAAGCTTGACGCCAATAGCGAGTAGATCTTCGAGGTGGGCGAGGAGAGAGACAGAAGTGTGTAGTCCATTAGGTTTAGGTAGAAGTGGCAATTCTCAATCCAATCCACCAATCCATTAAAAATATCCATCTAATCCAATCCATTTGATCCAAATCCAATTGGATAATGACAAATTACAGTTTGGTACCTATACTTTTTATATTTTACATTTTGGTACCTAAAATTTAATTTTTATGCGAAAAATATCATTTGAAAATTACGTTTTGGTACCTAAATGTTTTCATTATGACATTTTACTATCTAAACTTTTCACTTTTTACATATTGGTCCAAAGTTGAGGATGTCATTTGGATTTATGGATAATCCACCAATTCACTTGATCCAATCCAAGAATCCACCAATCCATTTGATACAATCCATTTAATTTGATCCATAAATCCACCAATCCATGGATCCGATCCATTTGCCACCTCTAGGTTTGGGGTTGTGGTAGATGGATGATCTCACCTTGATTGGGCTTAGGGAGATGGGTTCATTTGAGTTTGGAGGACTAGGTTGAGTATTGGGCTGAGTCCACATATTTCGTTTTGAAATTAGGGACCTCGGTTACCCTTATCTAAAAAAAAAAAAATTAGGGACCTCGGTTCTATTGAAAGAACCTAATTTCCAATTTATGCCTGTTTCTCTTTTGAATTTCAAACTGGACAATATAATTTTGGTCTGGTGCAAATTTGGTTCGTTCCGCGTTTATCGAACCGTATGCCCACCCCTAGTCATCATCATACACTGATGGGTGATGAATAGTGGTGGACATTTCTAGCGGTTGGTATTCTACTAGAGCTCACCACGTGACGTGTTCGTGCTCATTTTCTTTTTTCCAATAAACACATTTTTTTAGTCAATTATATTTTTTTCAATTATGAATTTGGATGCTTTTCGGACAAACCAATTGTATTTATTGTGTTTGTATAGAAATGATATTCATTTTGAAATATGTTGGGGCTAAATTGGATTTTTTATTTTTCTCAAGACCGGCCTGCTTGTTGTCACATTCCTTTCATCTATACTAGAGCCGTACGTAGCAAAGTTTGTATATATCATAGCTTGCTATAATGTTGTATCTTAGTAGTTAGTACGTAGCAAAGTTGATATCATAGCTGTATAGCATGTACCATCATGAATTGATACGTCACAATCTCCTACGTAAGCAAGTCAGTGATGTGCTTGATTTTTATTTTCCTGGAATTGATGTATATCAAAGCGGATATAGACCATGGTTGCCACGTAGGCCAGAGTGTCACCGGTTGAACCTGGTGCAACCAGTACCAATCATAAAACCGGTGTGACATCACCGATATAATCGACATGATTGATATATAAACTCTAAATAAAATGACCTTATTTTAGTGAATTTGATTAATAAAAATTATTTTATTATTTATTTTATGGTAAATACAATTTAATATGCAAACCTTTCATTATAAACAATATAATAGCCAAACCTTTTTTAAAACAATCTAATATCCAAATCGTCAACTTTCCGTCCGTTTGACCGTTAGTTGACACTTCAAAAAAGTTCGAAGTACGACACTTCATCAATATCCATCGATATCTTCTCTGAAAAACCACCAACATATCGTGGTTCCAAACCCGAGAAGTCCATGACTCCACCATGATGGTATAGATTATTTAAATATTTAGTCATCTGCAATGGCAAAACAAGAAAACAAAGTTGTATTGTGACAATTTCCCTTAAACAAAGCTTTTTTGAAGTGTTAACTAACGGTCAAACGGACGAAAAGTTGACGATTTGGATATTAGATTGTTTTCGAAAAGGTTTGGCTATTATATTGTTTAAAATGAAAAGGTTTGGATATTAAATTATATTTATCCTTTATTTTATGAGTATAAAAGTTAAATATTAGTGTTATTTATTGGATTCAAGTATAAATGTTTAATTATTGACATTAAATGTCATGTTTAAATATGAGTATTTATAATTTTATTTGTAATATTGACCGACATGAACCGGCACAAGCTGCTATGTGCCACCGGTCGAACCATTTCACTTGCTAAACCAACGTACTAGCAAAACCCGACCGGTTTTGACAACCTTGGATATAGTCCATCTCGATTTGCTTTAATCTGGTGTACTTAAGACAATAAAATACTGAAATTAACATGGAGAGAGCTAGCGTCCGGATCTTAATCCTTGAACCAAACTAAAAGTTCTAGGTGAGGCAACATAAACACTAGGTTTAGAATAACCATCTTTTATTTCCCCTCCTCAAGGATAGACCTGGATCAGAGCTCGTGTTCCAAGAATCGGGTTGATATGGTAGCTACTGAATCCGGCATCAAAGAAGAGCTTCGCAAACTCTTCCTCGGTCCTCTCCTTGCCAGTCAACGAAACCATCATTTCCATGTCGAATGCATACTGTACTCCCCGCAGCTTCTCATCCAAGCTCTGGTTTCCAAGCACCATGTCTATGATTATCACCTGCCCAGCAGCTTTCCCTTCGCCGGTCACCGCCGTCCTGCACTTGCTCAGAATTTTCACGCATTTCTCGTCGCTCCAATCGTGCATAATCCACTGTATTTTGTTTCATGTATGTTCACAAACATCCAAAGAGCAATGTTAATTCTCCGATCATAATTTTACAGAAGCAATATACTATAATTAGGTCAACTCTTAGAGAGTGGTAAAAAGGATAATCCAGCATAACTTTCTCCCGACAATTCGAGTTATTAGAACTAACTTATTCATAATATAATAATCAGAGCCTAGTTTGGACAGGTAGTCGCGTGTTCGAATCTCCACGACTTCCAATATTGACAAGTTGATTGAAACATAAGGTATGACCATACGTTTGTACTCGAATTGTTGGAACTGCCAACTGGTTTATAACGTTAAGCACCTTAAGCAATACGGCATCGGCAGCGGGGATGGACTCAAACATATCGCCGGCAACATACTTCACGTTGTTACCGCCGTCTTCGAGCCCCGAGACGACGTGTGGCAGATCCAGCACGGTACAACTCATCCCCGGGAAAGCCTTAGCCAAAGCCTTGGCCATGTTTCCGGTCCCACCAGCCACGTCGACGAGGGACCCGACCCCTTCGAACGCCGACCTGCCTTCCTTCACCACCACCTCCGCAATCAAGCAGCTGTCCCTCGCCATGGCGTCGTTGAAAAGAGTAGCAAACTCCGGCTCCATCGCCATGTACTCCCACACCATCTTGCCGCCGTGGGTCGCGGAAAACGGCGTCGTACCGTCATCATCATTCTCGCTCCGAAACCACGCGCTCATACGGTGGAACGGCTCGGTGAGAACCGGATCCAGGACCGCGAGAAGGAGCGAGCCGGCGTTGTAGGGGTTGTCGCTTAGGAGGAGTTGGCCGGCGGGAGTGAGTGAGTATCGTTCGACGTCGTTTAGTTTGTTGTGGAGGGAGAGGAAGCCGGAGTGGGCCACGAGGCGGAGCAGGCGGTGGAGGTATGGAGCTTTTGCGGGAGGGAGGGACAAGGCGGAGATGAGCTCCGGGAGGGAGATGGGCCCGCTGTGGGCCTGGACGGCTTCGGGCAGGCCCAGCTGGACGGCGCATTTTAGGGACATGGAGGTCACGAAGTTGAAGGCGTGGTGCCATATGTGGCTCTGGGCTTGGAGGAGCGAGCTCGTGTTGTCCATGACTGTGTATATATCAACTGGTTCGTGGTTTTGGGAGGTTAATCGATTGGCATTTTACGTCTCCATTTATAAACATCTGATTATCTGAACTTGGGGGAGAACACTACTGAGTAGAGACTACAGTTTGGGGTAGGGGTGGATTTTCGGTTATAACCGGTAATCGAATCGTCGGTTATCGGTTAATCGAAAGGTCGGCCCTCCCAACCGACAACCGACCGAAATATGCTTCGGTTATCATAGTTATCTCGGTTATCGATTAACCGCGTCTCCTCCAGAACTAAAACCATCTCGTCCAGCCTTCGATGACCGATCGAATTTCGGTTATATCGGTTATCGGTTAATAGATAATCGATTGGTTATCGGTTCAACCGACCGGTTATGTTGAAACATTATGTTGCCATCTCTCGCCATAGGGGTTAGCTTTAGCGTACAAAAAGAGAGAAACATTAGGTTTCTTGCATTCTTGAGTCGTGCCTTCATCAAATTCTCATTATGTTATTTCTCTTTCAGATTGAGAGGGAGAGAAAAGACTTCCCTCAACAGCTCGTATACTATAAAGCCAACGACAATGGAGCTGTGCGAGTCAACTCGTGACTGGATTAGCTCTATTATGACTTATGAGCTTTTGTAATATCAAGCATTTTTTTTGAATGATAACATCAAGCATTGCCACTAAGGTAGTGGTGGACCCAGGAATTTTATATAGGAGTGTTCTCTTTTAAAAAATAAAATAAATAATAATAATAATTAATAATAATAAAATAATTCTTAAATAAGAAAATATCCAACTCGTACAAGTTAAAAAACCCATGATAAATTTTCATATTCTGAAAAAAATTATAAAATACACTTGGCGTCTACACTGCTCAACAAATTTGTCACGGTATATTCTACTAGACAATCATTCCAGAACTAACGCATATTTGACTTCTAAATTTGTTCTTGATATAATTCAAAGCTGAATAGACACTTTCAACACTTATCATACAACCATAAAATCAATACAAATTCAGGGTAGTTTGTAATTAGCTTAATTGTTAGATTTTGAAAATAATTAAAGATAGATAATAGGTTTCTATTACACCGTGTTTAGAATAGAACAACAAAAAAGTTGTAGTCTAATGAAAATTATATTTTATTAATAATAGTACTCTCTCAGGTTTGAATTACTCAAACTACCACTTATACTCCCATACGCAAACTACAAACGAAAGTAGTATAATCATTTTTTCAAATTTCAGGGTGTCTCCGACTACTGATTATAACTTTTTTTATCCATACATAAATTATTACCAAGGATTGGATAATTGATTTTTGGGGCACCTGCAAATGGCCCTCGGTCCGCCCCTGCACTAAGGCATAAATGTCTCATATTTTTCTCTCCAAAATATATAAAAGTAGATATCATTTTGAACAACACAATGAATTTGAAATATCTATAAAAAAAATTATGACTTTAAACAAAAGAAAAAAGACCATTAAAATTTATAAAAAAAAATTAAAAGTCTTACATAAAAAGTGATGTTACAGGGTATGCATGGTTATGCTCAAAAGGTTGTGCATGAAATATGCTCCTCACTCCTCAGCATGTCATTACCAATAGGGTTAATACCTTATTTTGGCCCGAACTATAACCATATAATCAATTTTGGCCCGTGGTTTCAGAAATTAACATCCTGACCTCAACTATGCAGCATATAGACTCAATTGGCCCGACACATAGTTTGACCGTCAATTTGGACGGTCAACTCCGTTGACCGTTAGTCAACACGCCATGTCATTGCCTAATCAGCCTAAAAATCATTACAAAAATGCAAATTCAAATTATTTTTCTAATTTTTCTTATTTATTATAAAATTAACCTAAAATAAATTATAAAAAACATAAAATAAATTTGCTTTTTTATTTTTTGGATAATTTGAAAAATGATAAATTTTATAAATTAACCAAAAATTATCAAATTATTTTATATATATATATTTTTTTTTATGAATCGGGTAGTTTCTCATTCCATCAAAAAAGAGAGTACTAGTAACATCCTTACTAGTTAGGAAGAAGAGAGTTTAATAACCTATACAAGTAATTCTACTACCTGACTACCAAAAATCACGGAAATCTCCACTCTAATAATCCTGCATAGCCCATCTCTGTCCCTGCACATACCCGTGTAAACTCTGCAACACCTCTCTCACCAAATTTGACTGATTAAACTGTGCCACATCGCTCTACCTGCTTGAGCTTCAAGCGACTGGGATCCAAACTTCAGCTTCACCCAACTGATCTCACAGCTCAATGAAGACGAGACTGCAGATCTTCTCCCATACAGTTTAAACTTCAGTTCCCTGTATAAAACACATTCTGCAAATAAATGGTCACATGTTTCTAGAAGGCAATTGCAGAAAACACAGCCAAGGTTGCCCGAATAGCCCCATTTGATCATCTTCTCCTTAGTTGAGATTACCTGATTAAGAATAAGCCAAGCAACGAACCTATTCCTCGGTATAGAAGCCCCCTGCCACAAAATTCTGTACCAATCTACCTCTTGTCTTCTAGGTCTCAGAGTGTTCCAAACCTTCTTTATAGAGAATCGTTCCATCTTTTCCTGATCCCAAAACACCTGCTGCCCCTGCTGATGGAAATGCCCCTGAACCTTGTGCCTGGTTTTCAATATTCTTTTCCAATTCCAGGACCCTGAAACTCCACCATACTCCCACAGTCCCTGACCTTTCAGTTTATACAAACTAATCCAAGCCACCCATAGTGATCCATGTTGCATAAGAAGGAGCCAGATGTGTCTTGTGATACAAGCTGTGTTCCAGATGCTTAGGTCTCTCAGACCTAAACCTCCCTCCTTCTTTGGAAAAGTCAAGTTTTTCCACCCTATTGTTGCTCTGACCCTCCCATTGTGACCCACACCCCAAAGAAAGTTGCTGCAAATGTTCTCTACCTCTTTGATTACTGCTTTGGGAAGGAGAAAAATCGCCATCCAGTATTGATGGAGGCTATAGAGGACTGAACTCACCAATTCAACTCTACCAGCATAGGAGAGAAACTTAGTTTTCCAACTACTGATCCGAGCTACAATTTTGTCAATGAGAGGTCTACAAGCAGCAACTGTAAGCTTTCCAGAGGACAAAGGAACCCCAAGATACCCCACAGGGAATCTACCCAGTGCAAACCCATATCTATCTGCCATAACCTTCTGTTCAGAGCCAGATATCCCCCCAAAGAATAATTCACATTTGCTGGGATTCACTTTCAGACCAGACAGAATCCTAAATCTAGTTAGGATCTCATTAAGTCTCTGAAAGCCATAATTTGAACCATCCGAAAACACTAACAAGTCATCAGCAAAGCAGAGATGGTCAGGCCCACTTTTTTGCACATAGGATGAAAAGGGAAGTGCCCCTTCTTAGCCTCTCTATCAATCAGGCATGTAAATATTTCCATGGCAATCACAAATAGATAGGGTGATAATGGGCACCCCTGCCTCAACCCTTTACTTGCAGAGAAATACCCAACTAATCCCCCATTCAACCCTACACTAAGCATTGGGGTTCCAACACACATTTTAATCCAGCCTATAAACTGATCAGGGAAACCCATGTGCTGTAAAACTGAGAAAATAAAAGTCCAATCAATTGAGTCGAATGCCTTCATTAAATCAATTTTCAGGGCACACCGAGGAGAAACATTCTTTTGTGCATATTTATGTACCAGTTCGTGGGCCAGCAAGATGTTATCCCCAATGGATCTGCCTTGTATAAAGGCAGTCTGATTCAGACTAATCAAATGAGGAAGTTGTGTTCTAAGTCTATTGGCCACAATTTTTGCAATAATCTTATAAATTGTGTTGCAACACGAGATTGGCCTAAAGAAACGCATTTCATCAGGATTTTGTATCTTAGGGATCAAGGCTAAGATGGTTGCATTCACTTCCCTTGGCATTCTACATTCAAGAAAACAAGACTTAACAGCAAGTGTTACCTCATCTCCAATAACCGGCCAAGCGTGTTGAAAGAAGGCTGCTGAGTATCCATCTGGCCCAGGGCTCTTGTCCCCATTCATTCCAAAGACCACTGCTTTGATTTCTTCAGAGGAAACAGGTACACAAAGATCATTCTCTATTGGAACTCTCTTCCTGATTAACTCAGTGTAGAACTCATCAGACTCTGCTTTCACCTCTTCATCCTTCTGCCCCAACAATTTTTTGTAAAAACCCTCTGCAACTTCCCCCATCTGCTTCAAATCAGTGACCTTATTTCCCTTGTCGTCCTTCAGCATAGTTATGGTATTACGCCGCTGTCTTGTTTTCAAGGAACGATGAAAGAAAGGAGAATTAGAGTCTCCCTTCTTGAGCCAAATCTCTCTAGACTTGAGTCTTAAGAAAGATTCTTCAGCCTGAAGCAACATGTGAAAGTCTTTAGCTAAGCCAGCCTCTTTTTCAAAAATGTCACTGGAGGGATTATTTAGAGCAATACCCTGTACCTCCTCCAATTCCATTTCCTTCTTCTTAACCCTGTCTCTTAACTCCGAGAATTCTTCCCTGTTAAGCTGTCTCAGTAATTGCTTCAGAATTCTAAGCTTCTTGTAAACCCTGATCATAGGAGGACCAGACACCCCAGACTCCCATGCCTCCTTTAGCAACTGATCAAATCTAGGATGAGAAGTCCAAAACTTGAAAAACTTGAATGGTTTTGGTAGAGACTTCTGCATTACTTCAGTCTCCACCAAAATGGGACAGTGATCAGAAATTCCAAGTTTTTGGAAATGAGCAGTACTACCTGCAAGTTTGTCTAACCAGTCAATATTGACTAATACCCTGTCCAACTTTTTTGCAATAGGACGGGCATCCTGCTTGTTTAGCCAGGTAAACCATGGCCCTGTTGCCTGATGATCTTCCATTTCCAATTCCAGTATCAAACTATCAAACTCTTTCATGTGGGCAGTCATGCTCGAAACAATGGATGTTTCTGCAGGGTTCCTGATGACATTGAAGTCACCAGAAATCATCCACGGCATCCCCACTACTTTAATTCTTCTCAAATCTTCAAACAACAACCTTCTATCTCTTTCCTCATTTGATGCATAAACAAAAGTGGCAAAGTAAGGTACTGCAGAGTTTACCAAGACGTGTATGAACTGATCAGAGCTATGCAGGACCCTCAATGGAGTCTCCTTCTTCCATGTCAACCATATTTTCCCTAAATTATCAGAGTTATAAGTAATCTTGCTATCCCACTCCTTAAACCTCTTGCTCAAAAACTTGGCCTCCTCCTTCTTCCTGATTCTTGGTTCTAGAATAGCTACTATACTAACACCATACTTATTTATCTTCCTACTTATATCAGTATATTTACTATCTGCTACAAACCCCCTAGTGTTCCAGGTCAGCAGTTTCATGATTTACGCTTCTTCCCCTTTCCACCCTTACCCCCTCTTCTCACCACCTGAAAATCAGCCTGAGTCTCTTCAATCCAAATCTGTTTACCCTTCCCCTCCCCAACTTGCTGCTCTTGAGGTAGTGTATCCCCTTTCACCCCAGAGCTTCCATCCGGTGGAGGAGACTCATTCTGCTTTGGAACATTAGCCCTCGAAGCCCCTTCATTTGGAGACCCTCGGACCACAGCTGCAAAGCTCAATGAAGGACTCACTGTAGAAGACGGAGAGCCCTTATCACCCATGAATATTTTATATTTTTAAAACTTCCCACAAAAATATAATTTATATCATAATTTTTAAATTTATAAAATTTAATTTGAAATTTTTTGGTTAATTTATAAAATTTATCATTTTCAAATATCCCAAAAATAATTATTTTATATTTTTAGAATTTTATTTTTTGGTTAATTGGAAAATGATAAATAATCGAAATTAGGAAAATAATTTGAATTTAAATCTTTTAATGATTTTTAGACTGACTAGGCAATGACATGGCATGTTGACTAACGGTCAACGGAGTTGACCGTTCAAATTGACGGTCAAACTATGTGTCGGGCCAATTGAGTCTATATGCTGCATAGTTGAGGCCAGGATGTTAATTTCTGAAACCACGGGCCAAAGTTGATTATATGATCATAGTTCGGGCCAAAATAAGGTATTAACCCTTACCAATAAGACATCTCTTTCAACAAAAAAAAAAAATCAACAAGACAGAAGATATCACTAGACACTAGTAACAGGTCATCACGTTATTACCATCAAAATACAAATCTTTACTAACCGGATCGAATTGGAAAGTTGGACCTGTAGAAATGTCAATCAACTATAATGGCAAGTACAGTTGATTGACAAGTATGTCTTTCTTTTTATAAATTTGCATTAATTGTAAAAAAGAAATGACCCTCTTGATTGAAACTATCAGTAGTAATATTATACTACTAAATTGTGTGTTAGCCTCATAACTTGTGTCTATATCATATAGGCTCATTTGTCTCATTTGTATCTTTCACTATTACACAGACTTATGTAGCTATTAATTCTAAAAATAATTTCTAATGTACGGATCAAATTTAGATGTGACTTCTCATAAAGATAATTTAGTGTTAGCATTATTATTATTACTATGACCTGACTGCATGTTCTGAAATTGAAGAATTGCAGTTTCAGTACACCATCTTCTTTCGTACGTGGGACTTCATAAGCTTGCCTTTCTTGAACTTGAGGACGTCATCATGCCTGAAGATTTCCTTCAGAGTCTGCAGCAGAAGTGCCCCCTGTTTGAGGAGAGCCACTTACCGCCACAAAGGAACCGACTTCCACCATAGAAACCGTAGATGACTCACCCCTCCACGATCCGACAACCATCCAAGCACCAACAACAGCCTGGGGAAGTCAGAGGGGGGAAGATGAGAATGACTTCACCTCGGAGATGATACCACCAACCTGGAAGACCAACCATCACATAGAGAAAATCAAAGCTTCCCAAGCTGCAACCTCTGGATCCCCCAACCAAGCAAAGCCTTGAACCTGGAAAACTCTAGATCTGGAATGCCAAAACGGCTGGAGAAATTGAAATACTAGCAGGTGAAACGCCTAGAACAAAGGCAAGAGAAACGAGAACATGGAAAGCAAGATAAGCAAACGAAAATAAAGCTTGGGCTGCCACCGGTCACCAGAGGGAGCCGTCAGCAGCCATTGAAGGCTGGAAAATGGAGGCTCTCTTAGAGAGAAGGGAGTGTAACATTAGAAAGGTAAATTAAGAGAGAAAAACATCCATATGAAAGTCCTTACACCATTCCCAGCTCCAAACCATCAAGATAAACTGCTAAGTAGAGACTTAGAGTATTGCTTTGTCGGAGATAAAAGGTCGTGAATAATATAAGCTAAGAAGTTGTCAATCTCCTACTTAAGAGGATCACATCAGACATATTGACATATATGATCTCAGCTTCTTTTGAGACACATTCACACTGTCTAACTTTCTCCAAGAAGTCTACACAACTTCCCCAACTCAACTTATACTCCGGTTTAATGACAATTCTACTCAGTCGCGGGGCGTTGGCCAACAGAAATCTCAACAGGTCTAGCTCATCCCGGGAGCCTTTACCATTCCGGACATGGACTTCTGTAAGACTTTGACAGTAACTACCTTCAGCTTCAGGATCTGGATATCCATTTGATTCAGATGTCAAGGGAGTCAATTCTCTCTCAACATTTAAACCATCAAGTATGCGAGTGTCCTGCAGATGGTATTAATGAAGGAACACGTTTAGCCCAAAATGGAGATCAAAGCAGGAAACACCAAGCCTTAACATAATCAAGAGAAAGAAAGGATTTATAGAGGTTTCCAACCTGAATTGTAAGTTTATACAAGTTGGGGGAACTCCTTATAAGACAAAGGAGAACCTCCAGCTCAAGCAAACACTGATCATCATAACAATTGCCAATGTCAAGAACTTCCAAGTGGTGAAGTGCCATAGGAAACCTGTCTGGAACAGGACCTGCAGCAAGTAACTAAGACAAAACCAAACACGCGAGACTGAGCATAACAGATGTTCCAGGCATTTTGGCACATAAAGAATATGTTTAAATGAACTCAAACTTACATGGAGGCACTCAAAGCTTAGATTCAATTGCTGGAGTGCTGGGAGGGAAACAAATGTAGAGACTATATCTACAGCAGTTGTATCGGAAACATACTGAACATACATCTCCGCTTGAATTGAAATCAAAGAAAGCAACGGAGTAGAACTGAAGCTAATAGTTTCTAGCACACGATACGCCCTAAAGATGCACACTTTGAGACGTGGTGGACCTACAATTTCAAGCTTACTAGGACCCACAACGTAGGAAGCTCTCAAATCTTCAAGCAGCGGGCACTCGAGAAGAAAACTCTGAAAGAAATCATCGGGCAAACATACCATTTCTAACTGAAGAACAGTCAGCCTGGTAAATCCCACAAACCAAGGTGGTACTTTTAATTTACATGCCTGCAGTTTCAGGCTATCCAATTTACGAGCAAGAAAAACAGAAGAGCTGATCTCTTCACCGTATGAGTGCTGGTCAAAATCGAACAGAAGGGAGAGTGCAGAGATGCCTTTGTTGGAGAGGTAAGAAACCAAGTGAAGATTATCAGCAGCGGCTGTTAATCCAGAAATCGAAAGCACAAACTCGGTTATAGGTCCATCATGAACCTGCAGAGCTCGCTGAATTCTCATGACTAGACTATTCACTTCCGATTCAGAATCGAAGTCCACCTCCAGTTCATAAAACTCATCATCAAACACAAGGCGGGTGATGTTTCTCCAATGGTGCCTCCATTGTCTTGACAGTATGCTAGTTTTCCCTGCTTCTCTTATGGGAAGGACGTAAGAATTAGTTGTATTAGATGGGCGGGAAGGTTACTAATTCTATCACCCTCCAACTCTGCAAGCAGCACCTTCCTCTTCTCGATCATATTATAACTACACACAAATCAGGAACACAAATCTAAGCCCAACCAGTTATGTATAGAAACGAGAGAAACCCTAACGTACAACAACTAGGCATCTATACATAGACATTGACCAACAAGGAGACTAATTCGGTGGGAAAAGCTACAAACTTCTGGAATGGCAGAAAGTGATAAATTACAGTACCTCGTCGAGGAGTCACTGGTATGAGTAACTTTTATCAGAACCTTCAAGGCGAAATCAACGAACCCTAACCACACCTTCAGCTTTTAAGCCGCCAAACGAATCATTTGGTTACCTGGCCGGCCGGCCGTCCGGACTTCTCCGCAGACTATCTGGGTGAGCCAGGAGAATGGAAGGGGAGCAAGTTCCGAGCAATGATAAGAAGAAGAAAAAAAAGGGAAGAAGAAAGAAGCTTAAGCACAGCTTGGAACTGGGAAATCTTTGTATCCATTGGGTGCAGCAAAACGACATCACAAATCGTCGTAGGTAGGAAACAGAGGCGAAAAGGCGTGTCGTTTTGTGCCTAGTAGCTGTAGCAGTATCAGTGTATCACACATCCGCCATTTCTCCGAGTCTCCTTCTGAAAAAGGGCTTAGGGTTCTGCCATCATTTCCCACTCTCTGTATGTGTAGAATTCGTTATGTCACAGCGCTTCTCGCCTTCTTTCCCGTAAAAGATGCCATCAAAGCAGCTGCGTTGTCAAGTAAGTGGAGGTATCTTTTGAGAAACATTCTCCAACTTGTTTTCGATGGAGATTTTACTCGCATCACAGAGTTCTGATGGTTTGTGATGGTCCGATAACTGAGTTCGTGCTTGACATTCCTGGCTTGACCCCATGTTCTTGATATCAATTGGATGATTCTTCGCCTTTCCAGCAAAGGGGTCCAGGAATTTAGTCTCGTCTTTCCAGAAGTTTTGCATTTGGAAACAATTTGGTTTGTGGGATTTAGCAGGCTTACTCGTCTTGAATGGGAAATCTTGTAGCTGTTGGGTGATTTCTTTGAGAATGTCATTCCCAAGTGCCCGCTGCTTGAAGAATTGAGTCTTTTTAAGTTATGGCTCAGTTGGTAAACTTGAGATTGTTGTTCCTCGTCTTAAAGTGCTTTCTCTTCAGTGTGAGTGGATGTCAATTGTCTTTGAGTTTATCCAACTTCTTTCAGTGGTAACAATTCTTGATATTCATGGAGGCAAGTGTTGTTTAGCTACTGATAAATATGAACATAGCCCTTGTTTCCCCGTTGGGGATGTTATGGAGCTGGATGTGGTCACTGTATTTGCTTTTCTCCTTGCACTCCAGCAGTTAAATCTTGGGCTCGAATTCGAGAAAGTAAGCTTTGCTTCCCCCTACTCGACTTGTTCAACCTTGTCTACCTGGTTTCTCGCCTCATTCATTCATGTTGTTGCTTTGTAATTGTTAGTACCTTGCTGCAAGTGATAATATCCCCACTGGGCTTCCTACTCCTCTTCACCACTTACAAGTCCTGGAAATGCCTAACATATTCTTGGACAGCTTGCAGGAAGCGCAGTTTCTTATATGTCCTCATGAGCTCCCCCAACTTGCGCCCGCTCACCATTCAAGTAAGGCTGAGTTTTTTCAATAGTGTACCCTTGCGATGTGGGTTGTAAGTTTCTTTATTATTCATCTACTAGCTATACATTCCCATTAGCATAAATCCCACAATCATTAGATTTCCCAGTCTTCTCTCTCTCTTAAGGAGATTACAAGGTGAAGTACAAAAGACTATTTTAGGGCACATTTTCTTGCAAAATGCTTTTCAAGGCAGTCATATTTCATATTTGGGAATCGATCTTTATCTCACCATCCATAGTTACTAAGTAATACCTAACACTCCACAATTGTTAACACTCCACAATTGTTCTATTTCTTCAAATGTTGTATATTCACCATTGGCATTAGTGGAATTGTTGTGTAACGAGTTATGGTCTTATGGACAATTGTTGGTTCAATTTACTCTCTTTTGTGACTGACTTTTGTGGCCAAATATTCTTCTTCTAGCTTCATACTGCAAAAGACCATTCATGGTACAAACATTATATTGGCAGCCTAAAAAATATGTTGTTGAAGCAGAGGAGCTGCAGTCTGATTGATATGGTAGTTGTCTTCACGCGTTGGACACTCAGGACAGGACAGGCCAGGCTTGCAGGTAGTAGTGGAGCTGATGAGGTTTGTGTTAGCCAAGGCCCCACATCTTCCCAGAGTCAACTTCCCGCTTTGCCGTAAGTTGGACACTTCATTTGTGAATGGATCATATAATTGTGCGTCCAAAGAAGCCAACACTTTGTAGCTTTACACTCACATTTTAACCTTGGCATCACTTCAACTTCTCGGGAAGTGCACGATTCGAAATGTTTAATTTTTCCTTCTACAATCTGTGTTTGTTACAGTTTTCTCAGCTTTGTGTAGATACAACCAGGCTGTGCATAGGGGTACCCTTCTCTGTGCCGGCCAGGCAGATACCCACTGAACCGCCGGATGGCGTTTCATGCATTCTCATCCATCAGATGAGACGGTGACATTTTTGTTACTCGACGGGGGAGACACATAAAGCCTTTGGATGGGAGCATTGGCGTATTCTCAGTCGTTAGATGTGACGGTGGTCACAAGTGCCTTTGCGTATTGATGGGGGTACTCTCTTCCTTTTTTATTCCCTTTTATTCCGGTCATTGATTCCGTTTTTTACTGCGAAAGTGGCGTGTTACGGTGTAAGCGTCATCTTTCTCGACAAGGGTTTTCCTTAGGGTATATAAAGAAAGAAAGATTGGTGGGTTATTTAGGGTTTTGGCAATGTGTCTCCATCAAAGTTTCCCTCTGTTTCTTCTCCTTCAGTGAGAGGGAGAGAAAAGACTTCGTTCTCTCTTTGTTGTGAAGCTGAGCAGAGCACCGATCACTTGTTTGTGGTTTTGTGTACTATAAAGCCAACGACAATGGAGCTGGGCGAGTCGACTGTTGATAGGATTAGCAACGTTCCAGCCAATGCGATAGAGCAAATTCTGACGCTGTTGCCCATAAAAGATGCAGCGAGAACCAGCATCCTGTCAAGAAACTGGAGGCATCATTGGAGAAGTATTCCTCAACTTGTGTTCGACGGTAGTTTTGCTCCACCACTCCCCATTACGGAACCCTATTTACCGGATGAGAAAAAGGTCATGATGGACATTTACGAAGCTCTGCTGCTTCATGATGGTCCAGTAACCAAGTTTGAGCTCTCAATTCCTGGATTCAGAGAAGACTGTCCACGTATTTGTAAGTTGATTCCTCACGTTGGAAGCAAAGGTGTCCATGAACTTGCTCTTCGGTTTTCCAAGGGTCAGACCAAGCTGCCTTCCTCCCTGTTCACCGCCTGCAGTCACCTGACTGTTTTGAAACTGCAGCATTGTAGTGTTGGTGCACCATCTTCTTTTGTGGGATTTCGTAAGCTGGTCGTTATTGAGCTTGAACATGTTATCATGCCTGAAGATTTCCTGCAGAAGTTACAGCCGGAGTGCCCCCTGCTCCAAGAGTTGAGGGTTTTATACTGTAGCCGGCAAGAATATAAACTTAATGTGCCTTCTCTCAAAGTGCTTTTCATTAAGTCGAGTGGTTCCGGTTGTAACATTACGATCCAGCATGCTCCAGTGCTTTCAGTGCTATCACTGACAGATGGTTGGACGTCTAAGAATTGGTTAGCACTGTTTGCTTCTCTCCCTGAGCTCAGGCAGCTGACTTTTGCAATTCATTCGCTGAAAGTAAGTTTAATTCGTTTCTATACTTACTCATCATGTGTTACCACTTCAAGGAAGCAGCTGGTTTTTTTGTACTAATTCATTTCCTCTATTTGTTTGCTTTCTGCAGTTCTCTGCAGAGGGTAATGTCCCCTACAAACTGCAACAATCCTCTACCAGTTAAAAGTTCTTGAAGTATCTCGCCTTCTTTTGGATAACTTGCCACAGGCACAGGTTCTTATTTGTCTGATCATGAGTTCCCCCAACTTACAAAAGCTCAGCATTCGGGTTGGTTTCTACACTTTTGTTGTAATATTATATATATGTGGGTATACCTGTCAACTCTTCAGCCTTTGACTTGTTTTTTTTCCCTTGACAAATCTTTCTTTTAGTTGGGTACTAATAATGCCCAGCCGTCTTCAGAGGTAATGGGTAGCCTACAGGAGCTGTTGGAAGCAGAGGAACGACATGGAATTTGTTGCCTTCAACATCTTGAAGAGTTCGACATTCTGGATAGCCAAGGTAGGCAAGTCGAGCTGGACCTGGTGCGGCTTGTTCTGGCCACTGCCCCACAACTTCGTACGATCTCGATTAAGCGTGCAGTTAACTTGTCATCTGATAAGGTTCTGGGATTCTTGAATGAGCTGGTATCGTATAAGCGTATTTCCAAAGACGCAGAGGTCAAATATGTCTAGGAAAATATGAGGTTGAGTTGAGACACTTTGTAGCTTTTACCTCTCTTGCCCTTTGGGTCGTTGCCCACCTACTTTCGTTGGTGCTTGATTCTTTTGTTCTCGTTTCTTCTTTTCCCTGCATGATGTGAGGGTGTTTGATCCCGGTGAGAATGTAGTAGTTTTGAAGTGTTGTGGAACAGTCCAATTTGAGAAGTTTCAGTATTTTTTTTTTTTTTTTGGGAACATGAATTATGTAAATCTGGATTGATTTATTCAGCACATTGAGGTGAACAATATTCTACAATTTGGGTGTCGCTGTTGTCTCTGCATTATTATTAGTGTCATATTAGACCATCGCACTTTATAGATAAAAACTAGTTTTTTACCCAGCCCGTTGGCCGGAAAATTTCATTCATCACTTATAAAAATTAATTTATCTATATGTTTAAATTTTTTTAATCTTCTAACTTTTTATGCTCACACTTCATAAGTGAGTATGCTATATGTTCATATTAAAAATTCTCAATATTTAGCACACCCACCTATGATGTTCATAGGTTTCGATTCTCCAATCATAAATAATATTTTAAAGGTTTATCACGTCACATTTAGAATATATACAGAAGTTTGTCAACCAAGCCACTCAAATTTCTAATATTATAAAACATATAACTCTTAAACAATTATTAAGAGTCCAGATTATTGGATAGAAATACTTGATTATTGGATAAAATGTGTTTATCCCAAGTGAAACTTGACACACGCCATACTCTTTACGATGATCAAATTATCTAATCTTGAATCATTTTTATGTGAATGTTTATTAAGTCTCTGCTGAGGATCTTATGTCAAAATTTGTCTATCAAGACACTCAAATATAGTATCTTATACAATAGAGTAAATAAAATTTACTAACCAAATCTTTCAAACTTTAAAATTATCAGCCATACCTTTCAAAATACAAAGTATTAGCCAAACGTTAACTCCCCGTTAGCATTTTTGTAAGCAAAATTTAATAGTTATACCTTTAAAAAAATTTGTATTTTAATTAAGAAAATATTTAAAAAATTATTAAAAATAACAGAAAACTGGTTAATATTTTGATGCGATACAAAAGATTTGGTTAAAATATTGAAAATTCTGAAAGGTATAGCTATTAAATTTTATTTACTCAATTTGTACCAATTGCTAATTCTTGAAATTTGTATTAACCTTCAACCCATGGTTGTTGTCTACATGGTAGCTTGTAAGAATCCCAAACCAAGAAACTCTCACATACTTTCAAGGGTTCTCGTCTTAACATGATCCTTTAGTGAATAACGTTCCAACTTTTTTAATGTGCATTTGCAAAATTTTCCTTATTTTTTGTGTAACTTCTGGAACAACAATTTGTATTATATATCTTAATAATTGATAAATCATGCCCACAACTACAATGCACATAGATATAGGCGCATTAAAAACGTCGTATCATTTAATGAATTAAATTATTATTTTTTTGACAAAGTTGATTTAAAAAAAAAACTCATGCAAACATTGTGACATTTCACATAGATTAATTCTTGGATGTATTATAGACACATCTATTGTTAATATCTAAACGTATATAAAGAGTTTACTTTGTTTTGTAACCCTAATTAAGACCTTTGAACACACATCGTTCAATGGAATACGCAACAAAATTTTGTGGATAGGATAACTCGATCTATATCCATATTACTTATGGTTACAAACTAACATTTTTGTTTTGACATTTTGATATGGTAAAATCTTTTTTTATTGCCAAAATTTGGTATGGAGTCACATACTCACAACCATGCAACCAAATGACTTATTAGAATTGTCTTGTTGATCTCATGCTTATAAAGATTCTTCATTTTTAACCTAATAGCTCGGTTTAGAGTCTTCTAACTATAAAGGCCTTTAATGTAGAAGAGATTCAACTATTAAACGAAAATTGTCAACTCATGTTTGATTAATGCTAGGTCAGTGGTTGATAAAACATAATGTTTATCGTACATCGTCAACAAAGATTTCTCTAACACTCGCGTGCCATATAATACGTGTACATCGTCAAGTTTCTATCCAGACCTTTTACTATATAATACTTATTTTATTTTATAGATATATTAATTAGAAATAAGAGAATGGATGGCAATGGGGTGGGTTTGCCTAAACCATCACCATCCCCATTTTCAAATACCTAAAGTCATACCCGCCCCATACCCATACGGTGAAAGGTTTTACAAACTCATCTCCATACCCGCGGTTTTCGGATACCCATGGCCATGGGTAATACCCGCCCCATCAGCTACTCACCATAAAAAATATGGGTACTACTTGCCCAAAATTATGGAACTGATACATAAGTGGATGAAATTACGGCTTGGTTGCCATCAATTACATAAGTGGATGTTATATTTTCTGCATATAACATAATATCCTCGGTGGGGCGGGTTTGGGTATGGGGATGGGGATTTCAAAAGCATATCCGCCCATCTCCATAAAAAATTTGCGGGTTTTCCCCATTTCCAATCAATGCGGAGATTCCCTGTTTTGACTGGGTCGGAGACGATTGGGTACCTGCGACCATGAGTTTGGTTGCCATCTCTAAATAAAAGAGTGTTTAATAGCCAAAAATATAGAATAACATAGTTCATTTTTTAAAGTAGATTGATTTTCTAACATTTATTTTCTCTATTTCCATCGTTATATTTTGTTAAATCGATGAAAATATTATTGTTTATGTGTGTGTGGTTGTTTAAAATTTTCAATAACATATAACTTAGGACTTTGCATGTCACCGTAACTTGCACTTTTAGGTTGACCTTATATATAATTAGGTCAACCTAATCTGTACTTTTAGGTCTACCTTATATAGGGTTAGGTCGACCTAATATGCACTTTTAGGTCGACCTTATACAGGATTAGGTCGACCTAATATGCCGTTTAAGTTTTGTGAGGTTCAACGACGCAGTTGACCTTTTATAGCAAATGGTCGACCTCTTTGGGAAGCGCATGGATGGCATGTACCTCTCTCTCCCTCATCCACATTTTCTTCATTGGTGTTGCTAGCATTATGGTAGTCGGATGTGGTGGGATGCATGTATCTTCCACTGAAAGATCGAAATTCATCTCGGATCTCATTCATGGTCACCTGCAGTATACTCATTTGGGTGGTCATTTGCTCCATGTAGTCGTACATGTCTGTCATCTAGGTGGAAATATACTCCATACCGTACATGCCATCCATGCGTTTCCCAAAGAGGTCGACCTAATCCTATATAAGGTCGACTTAAAAGTGCATATTAGCAGATTAGGTCGACCTAATTCTATATAAAGTCGACCTAAAAGTGCAACTTACGGTGACATGCATGTCACCATAGGCATACCCTATAACTTATTATTTACTTTCAGTAAAAAAACAGTAGAAAATTTACTTGATCAAGTTTAATAATATATTTTTTGTTTAACTAAATGTGATATATCACTCTACAAACATTAGTCTTTTCTACAAACATAGATATAATATGAAAATTAAAAAGAATTATTGAATAAAAGAAAACATCATTAAAAGAATAGAGAGATAACTTCATAAATAGCTCATTAACTAATTTTTTTGCTTGTACAAAAATTGTCCACCTTGGCAACTTGTGAATTCTCCAAGTGCTTATGTGGCAAGAAGTTGTTTTTGAACAACCATAATATATAGTAAGATAAGATAAGATAAGATTACCCACGCACTCTTCATATGTACTTGTGATTGGATTGGGTATTGAGTGCGTGATGAAGGGTAGGGTTGCAAATAAGCCAAATTGCTTACGAGGGGCTCGTCATTCGACTTGAAAAAACTCTTTCGATAATCGGCTCGTTAGGTTGAGCTAAGCATATATTGTTCGTTGCGAGCCAGTTTGACTCAGTGGTTTGTGGAGCTCAACTTGCGAGCTAGCTCGTTTTGAGCTATGAGTTGGCTCGACAGTATGACTAGCGAGCCACCTCAACAAGCAATTTATCAGCGAATCGGTTATTACTTATCATTGACTTGTTGATAATTCATTGGTTTACTAGATTATATATCTCATCATCTATGATGTTTAAAATTTGAGCTCGTAGTTAAATATGTGTAATTTATATTTAAAAGAGAAATTATGAATTATAGATTGCTCATATACTAATAAATTTGAAATAAAATGATATAAACAATTAAAATTTATGAACTAATGATATGATGGCTTATCTCGAGCCGATCTCCTGAGTTAAATTGATGACCCAAGCTCGAGTGGAGCTCGTGAGCACATTGATGAGCCGAGATCGAATCAAACACAAGCCGAGGTTTAGTAACCAAGATGAGCTCGAGTCGTTTATTAACAAATCGCGCCGAAAATAGGTAAAAACTCAGCTCGACTCTGCTCATTTGTCGCCCTAAATAGTAGGGCTGGTAAACGGTTATCATGTTAGTGGTGTAACCGATAATCGAACCAGAATCGATGGTTAACGATTACATCGATAATCGATTAAACCGTGGATTCCCAGTAGCCAAAGTTAGCTAATTACTAATCGACTGTTAAACAATTAGTAACCAATGGTTAAATGATTAGCCAAAAACTTATTACGAGCTTCCTCATAGTTAGGACCGACAATAATAGGCATCGATGAGTCACTGACAGTCATAGGAGAAAATAATGGAATGTTTGAAGGCCTACAAGACCCCTGACCTCCCTAGCTGGCTAGCTAGTTGTGATAGTAACTTAGATTCAAATGAGAATAATTTTAAAGAGCGTGACTCTTATTTATATTTATATACAAAATTTTCAGTCTAGTTTGCCACAAGGCGTGGAAGCGAGAAGGGCTAGCCTATGTGGAGAAGGGATTTAGAAGGAGCACAATAGAAAGTTAGACATGGACATAGTAGCTCGACAACAATCTGTAATATTTAAGCTTGCATGTAATTTGTGGGGTTTATCTATGAGTTAAGTCATTATTGTTAGGTATCTTATACTTGTCTGTTCTTTAATCAAAATTGATGGTAGAATGATATTTTTGTGTGCTTGTGTTGGATTGAGTTGATCATGTATTGATATCTATGTTAAATTATTTTATATTCAATGATAGCAACTTAAAAATGTAACACAGGTTTGAAGATGAGTATTGTTAATTTTGTAATATATATTTTTTTGTGGTAATATATGAATATAGATTAGTGAGATTGTTTTAAAATATGTCAAATATATGCATAATCTATTTGGTAGTAGAGATTTCTAGCATACTATCCTAAAACCGACTAAAATTTGTTAAACCCGATCCAACTATTAAAGGTCAAACCACTTGTTAAACCAGTTTGATAACTTAATAGTTAATACTGCTTGAGTGCAGCCTTAGAGGGGCTATCATACCAGCCTACAACATCCGCCCAACCCACATTAAGATGGGCTAAAACGTAACCCACATTTATCCTCTTTTACAACCTTAAAAGCAAGATTTGAAGGCCTCAAGTTGTGCTGCTGCTGATGAAACTGGTGGAGACTTAGAGAAAGTATTGTGCAGATCGAGTAATTAGCATGAGATAGCTGTTGTAAAATGATTAATGTCGCAACGTTCAGAACATGCATGATTTTCTTTTTAATCTTGCTACATTAAGTTTATGGGATGTTGTAACTGCAACATCTTTGCTTTAAATTATGGAGTAGTTGTCACTTTTTCTTAACGTACATGACTTTGATTCACATCTTTGATTTCCCTCGTTTTAGTGTTAATTGGAATATTGGATGAATGAAGCAACTCCCACCAAAAATTAGAAGTCTGCAAATGGTAGAAGTATTGAAAGCATACATGAGGTTTTTTTGAGAGGACATTAAGGGGTCGTTTGGATTAGGAAAATTGGGCAGGGATTTAGCCCAAATCCCAGTCCATCCAGGAATTTAACCAATATTCTTGTTTGGATAGCACTTAAAACAACAGAGATTTGGGCCTCAGAAATTTTCAAATCCGGCCTAATCCAGAATTGGAATTAGCTGCCACCCCCCAGGTATTTTAAAATCTGTCCTAATTATTTCTTTTTTCCCAGCGTGTCCTTGCCTCTGTTTTCGTTAACCCCTCTGTCTTCACATCTTTCTTTCCGGCCTCGCACCAGCAAAAACAACGACTTCACGACTGGCAGCAATAATCCCTCCGACGACTTCTCGACCGGTAGCCAGGGGCTCGACGACGGCGTATCGACTGGTAGCAAGAGTCCCTCCACAGTTGATTACAATCCAAACCCTCAATTCCTCCTACCCCATCCTAATCAACGCCGTTGATTGCTCGCACTCCCTCATCCAGCCATAGAGAAGAAGGTCGGAACTCAGAGTGAATCATAGAGAGACAGAGATCTGGGGTCTCTAGAGACAGGCGGCAAATTGCATATAGGAAGGTCGGAGAGCCGCTATCGAGTGATTGGGAACCGTCATCGCAAAGCTCTGTTTTTTGAATTGGGGAGCCCAGAAACCGCCATCTCCTTTCTTTTCTTCCTCCGCCGCACTCTGTTTTCCCCCTGCACCGGTCAGTGAAGAATTCATATTTGGAACCCGAATTCAGATCTGCGACCGCGCGCCCACGATGGAGACTAGCGAGGAAGCGGGAGGCTCGCGTCTCACGAGGTCGCCGGAGGACGCAAGAGAAGACAAATATAATTTTCAGTTCTGGGTTCTTCTAAGGAGCTCTGGTTCTTCCTTTCTTCCGGGGGATCTGGGTTCACAAGAGCCTAGATCCACTATCATCTTGTCTTCGTCGTTGCCAATTGCCATCAGCGTCAAATTCGTCTACCTCCAAAGATTCGTCTACTTCCAGCCGGCGAAAGGGTTCTTCGAGGCATGCGGCAAGCTTCGGCGAGAGAAGGAATCGATTTGGGTTTTGGTTTGGGGTTCTTGGAGGCTTGCAAATCAACATGCAATAGGTTTCAGGTATGGGTTTGACGGAATTAGCATTAAGATTGAGGGGTGAAAGGAGGAAATAGCAAGAGAGATTCGATTGACGGAGGCAGCAACATTGAGAGGAGCAACAGTGGGAAGGTAGAAGAAAATATGGAAAGATGGGGTAGGGAAGAAGATAGGGGTTGTTGTCTGCGAATAAGAGCAGAGGGCAGAGTTGTATTTTTGCATCTGCCATAAAAAGTTAAATTGCTGCCTAAGAAATCATGGGCCCATAAACAAACGGATAAATTGCTAAAGTCTTTCATTTTAAATACACGTGTTTTATAATGAGGAAATTGGGCCCCAAATCCCTCATATCACAATTTTAGATCCAAACGACCCCCAAGTTGAGTGCGTCATGGTATTTTATTCATACGTTATCAAATACTACATATAAAACAACTCATTATCTTGGTTTATAAAAACAAGATAATTTAATTCTCAATTTTCTCAAATAGCACACAAACACCACATGCATATTGAAAAAGTGAGTTATTTGAACTTAGAGTTAGCTTCCCCGTAGGAGTTAGCTTCTTCTTATATATATGCATAGTGGGTTAGCTTTTAGCGTACAAAAAAGAAAGGAACAATATTATTAGGGTTCTTGCATGCATTCTTGATCTCTTTGTTTGTGATTGCCAGCGACAATGGAGCTGTGCGAGTCGACCGGTGACGATAGGTTTAGCGACGTTCCGACCAACGTGATAACAGAGCACATTCTGACGCTGCTACCCATTAAAGACGCAGCGAGAACCAGCATCCTGTCAAGAAACTGGAGGCACCATTGGAGAAGCATTCCTCAACTCGTCTTCGATCGTAACTTCGCTCCGCCTCATTATTTACCGGACGATAGCGAAAAGGTAGCGGCGAACATTCACCGAGCCGTGCTGCTTCATGACGGCTCAATCACCAAGTTCGAGCTCGATATCCCTGGATTAATGGGTGGCTGTCTGAAAATCGACGACGAGTTGATTCCTTGCCTTCCAAGCAAAATTGTCCGGGAGGTTGCCCTTCTGTTTTCTGTCCATCAGACCAAGGCCAATCTCGATTCCTCCTCTCTGTTTACTTCCTGCCATCACCTGACTGTTCTGAAACTGAAGAATTGCAGTTTCAGTACTGCACCGTCTTGTTTCGTGGGACTTCGTAAGCTTGCCGTTCTCGAACTCGAGGATGTCGTCATGCCTAAATATTTCCTTCGGAATCTGCTGCCGGAGTGCACCTTGCTCGAGGAGTTGAGGGTTGTAAACTGCAGCAAGCAGAAGCTTGTGCTTCTAACGCCGTCTCTCAAATTGGTCGTCTTTCGCTCGCTCGCTTCGGAATTTCGCCTCAATCCTGCCCCGCTGCTCTCGGTGCTATCACTTCCAGATGGTTGCGATTACGAATATGAAAACACATCTTTGCTTGCTCTGTTTGCTTCTCTCTCTGCGCTCAAGCAGCTGACTTTTGGGCTCAATTCGCTGCTAGTAAGTTTTAATTCGTGTTTCCGTATATATATATATTTCTTCTTCATCCTGCGTTACCGCGCACTTTCAGAATGTGCATCTGGTTTCTGTATTACTATACCCTGAACTCTAAACCCTAAACTCGCTTATTGTCTCTATTTGTTTGCTTTCTGCGTGTAGTTCCCGGCTGAGAGGAATGACCCCTATAAGGTTCCTACAACTCTTTGCGTACTGAAAGTCGTCGAACTATCTCGCCTTAGTTTGGAGAGCTTGTCACATGCTCGGTTTCTTCTGCGTCTGATCACGAGTTCCCCCAACTTGCAAAAGCTCACCATTCGGGTTGGTTTTTACTTGTTAACTTCTCTTTTGTATCACACATGGGTGTATATAATTATATATGTACCTGTTTGCCATTATCAAACAAAAAAAATATATATATGTACATGTTATTAGGTCTTTTAGCCTTTTGACTTGGGTTTTGATAAATGCTTTTTTTTTTGTAGATAGTTGCTAATAATGCGCATCATCCGCCTTCAGATGATATTGATAGCCTACAGATGCTGTTAGGAGCTGAGGAGGAACAATCTGGACTTGGTTGCCTTCAACATCTTGAAGAGGTTCACATTCAGGATAGCCTCGCAACACAAGTCGAGCTGGATCTTGTGAGATTTGTTCTGGTCACTGCCCCACGACTTCGTACGATATTTATTAAGCGTGCGTTAGAATTATCGATCGACAAAGTCGTGAGATTCTTAACTGAACTAAGGTGGTATAAGTATATTTCCAAAGAAGTTGTGGTCGAATATGTATAGAGATGAGATTGAGTTGGGAGATCTTTTGTAGTTTTTACCTTTATCCCAATTTGGATTGATCTGTTGTTCTCTTTTCTTCTTTCCCCAGAATAATGTGATGAGACCTTTCCTAAAAAGAAATTTGGTATTATAGTAGTATATAAGCATGTACCATCATAATAATACACTAAAATCTGGATTTTTCCCCGGATTAACCTAGTTACTAAATTAAATTCCTTAAATACAAGGTTGTCAATCCGCGGGTCAACCAATTTTGAGCCTGACCTGGTGAGAAAAACGGGCCGCACGCACTCGTCGTGTCGACCGCTACAAGGTATCGGGTTGGAGGTCAAATTGTGTCATTTTTTTCTTTGGTTTGCGAAATACCCATGTTTTTCCATTTTTCTTTTCGCCTAACTCAATCTTTGGAATCCTTAGTTGAACATTTGAATATACATGTTATATAAGTGTGTGTAAATTTTCACTATATGTTGGATCTAAGTACGATATGTTACTTTGATGTAATGTTATATGTTATTACTCATATGTTAGATGAAATTTGATATAATTTATTAGGATAAGTACAATATAATGACTATTTCCATATTTCCGGGATAAAACGGGATGAAACAGGTGACCCGTTAACCCTTGACCCACTAGGTCGACCGGGTCCGGGTCAACCCGCGGGTTGATAACCTTGCTCAAATAGCAAAGACTATGTTTTATTTCCTTAAATACCCAACTTTGGCTTAAAACGCTGTAGCCTGTAGGTAGAAGTGTTTTGTATAAAAACGCTCATTCCCAAAGCGTTTTACATTCAACGCTACAGAGGGGATTTATAAAAAAAAAAAACGCTACAGAGGGAAGCGCCTATTTTTAAAACGCTTATACAGTAAGTGTTTTATATTTTATGTACAAAACAGTGAAAACACAATGGATGAAAGCATTTTCACAAAACTCTATGGTTGATGCTTTTTTATGCATGGTTTGTTCTTTACAATTTGTTACTTCTTTGACAAAAAAATGGAACCATAGTTTGACATGCCATTTCTCCCTGCGGAATCCATATGGAGGAATTTCAGAAAAGTCTGCAACTTGTATATGAAATGCTTTGGGTGTTAGCGTTTTTAGGTAAACGCTTCCCTTTGCAGCGATTTATTCACAAAACAATGCTAGTGGCAATGGGAGCGTTTTAGGTCAAACTCGGGCATTTCAAGGATTAAGTAACAATCTTTGGGTATATGAGGAATCTAGTTTACTGGCGAGGACAATTTGCTTTTATGGTACAACTTAAAGTTATACCTTTAACGTTATGGTACAACTTCATATTGTACCTATACTCTTTGTACAAATTCTTTTATGGTACAACTTGAATTTGTACCTTTATGTGACGGGACAATTTGCTTTTATGGTACAACTTAAAGTTATACCTTTAACGTTATGGTACAACTTCATATTGTACCTATACTCTTTGTACAAATTCTTTTATGGTACAACTTGAATTTGTACCTTTATGTGACGGTACAATTTGGACTTGTAAAGTTGTATCATAACATAAGAATACAAATTCTTTTATGGTACAACATCAACTTATACATTTAACGTTATGGTACAATTTTAAGTTATATATTAAAGCATCAATGTTTTATAGCATAGTAGAAGTGCTCATATTACTATGGTTTAACATAGAAGTAATGTTTGATAATACGTCAGATTATTTCATTATTTGGAGTGATATTCATTATAAGTACATCAATGATTGAACCATTAAACATCTAGTGCTATTCATACACCAAAGCTAATAAAGATGTTGATGCTTTATAAAATGACGTAGCCAATAATTGGATTTCGTGACCTAATCGGTTGCCTAATATAATATTCCTAATAGGGAGAACAAACCGACAATAAAAGACACTCTCTTGTTTGGAGGCGTTCAACAGCCAAACAAGATCTTCTTTACTGGATCCGAGAGTTGTTTGAGATATTTTTTATTTGTTTGTTTTTTATCACAAAGAAATAAATAGTTACATTCTGGAAATCAGTCAGGCTCAGAAATCAAAGAAGCGACACATAGCCGGATATAAAGAGAGGACTTTTCTAGTTACCGAATGAGCTACTCTATTGTTCCCCCGACCTATAAATCGCACGCTAAACTCAGGCTGGGCGCGAAAATAATGACCTATCTCTTCCAGGACAGCACCCAACCGGTTATCCCTTGTGTCGGCTTGATTAAGTTTATCAATAATCACCTTGGCATCGCCCTTGAACCGGACCGCCGACAAGTCACACTCCAAACACCAAATAGTAGCCTCCCGAAGCACAAGCAATTCCACCACTGCAGGCTCATCCATGTGAGGAAACTAAACTTCCTTTGCCATAAGTAGCGTGTGCTCTGGGGTTAGAATAACCATCCCACCAGCCGAATGCGACCCACTCTTAGTGGGCCCATCCCACATACAAATCAACTGTGAATCACTCACTTGAGTTATTGGCTGAACCAACGGGCACTCCAACCTAGGGGCCTGATCCGTTGGCAAGCCCACCCATTCCTCATATTGTTGGTTAAATTGTCGCACGAGCGCCTGGATCGCAAACTGTTTGTCTTCAAAGACAACCCAATTACGAGACCGCTAGATTCGTCAAAGGATGACAACAACGGCCATAACTATCGAGAGTTGTTTGAGATATAATCCTTTTTTCCTAATAAAACCTTATCTTTCCAATTTTGAACTTCCCTTTGGACATTAATTGCTAGCAGCTTGCAATCTCTACTCCTGCTAAGTGCTAACCCTGTCCATTGTCCCATTTTTTAATATAAAAGCATGAATAATAATGTGCCAAACAAAAATAGAGAGCCCAAATCCATGATAAACTAATGTCAACAGGAAAATTTTAGATAATTTTTGTCATTGGACTCTATCACATCATTTTCAGCTATCTTTCAAGTTTCAAATTATTATTGGAGGATTTACTGTCGTAATCGGGCCGCTCAATTACTATAATATTGTCCGCTTTAGGTTAAGCCCGCACGGATTTACTTTTATGTATACTCTTCAAAAGTTCTCGTACTAATGAGCTTAGTGTATACTAACATACAAAAGTTCTTTCCATTGTATTGTTGGTGTGGTATTTGTTGTATAGGCAAAACAAGTTATGTGCCTATAGTAATTTGGCCAAAACTCCAAGTAAAATTATCTGGAGTTTGATGGACAATTTCGGTCGACCACCAATACAACAATAATATGTGATATGCTTTGTGTGACTTATAATAGTACTCTATCATTAGTACGTTTCCTGGTTTCAAGAAATGATGCACACAGTACATGAAATTCATAGTTTTGTATTTTATATGGTAGATGAAGACCGATTGGAACAATAAGTAGTCGATCTTTTGGTTGTTCAAGTAAACCTACTCAACCTCTAACAATTCAGCTTGGATTTCGTCCTTTTTGTTGACCAACGTCAAAGATTTACATTGGTGATTTACTCAACACACTCCAAGTATTTGTGCACATTCACTTCAAGGATAGACCTGAATGAGAGCTCGCGTTCCAAGAATCGGGTTGATATGGTAGCTGCTGAATCCAGCATCAAAGAAGAGCTTCGCAAACTCTTCCTCGCTCCTCTCTTTGCCAGTTAAGGAAACCATCATTTCCATGTCGAATGCATACTGTACTCCCCGCAACTTCTCATCCAAACTCTGGTTCCCAAGCACCATGTCTATGATTATCACCTGCCCATCTTTCCCTTCCCCGGTCACCGCCGTCCTGCACTTCCTCAGAATCTTCACGCACTTCTCGTCGTCCCAATCGTGCATAATCCACTTTTTTCCATGTTCAAAAACATCCAAAGAGCGGTTAATTCATCAACCATAATTCTAAGGAAACATGTATTTGGACTAGTTTGGCCATGTTGTAACTTTTGTAGAAACAGCTTATGAATGGAGTTTTTAGAAAACTACTTAAGAAAAACAGTTGAGTGTTTGGCTGAAAAACTATTAGAAGTGATTTTTAATATAATAGGCTACGTAAAATGATTAACCAGAATTTATAATATCAAATTTAAAAAAAAACTAAAGTAGTCAAAATCATCCGGTTAGATTTTTTTTATTAAATAATATGATTTTATAATTTATTTTATTTTTAAAATAATATAAATGAATGAAAATGATATTCTTTGTAATAAAATTAAAATAGAGTAAGGATAAACTTTTATTTTCAAATTAGCTTTTCAAAAAAACTCCAAATTAAAACTTCTTTTTTTATGTTATATAAAAATACTTTTTTTTAATCCAAACTCTTATAGATGTTTGGTTTTGCTTCACCTTTTGAAGCTGAAAAGAACTTCTAAAATCCGGTGACATATCCATACTATAATTACGTTAACTCTTTGGGCATAAGAGCATCTCCATCAATGCAATTGCAAAAGAAATTGTATTTGTGTTTGTTATTATCAACTCAATTTTTTTTGCAATCCACGTCACATTTATTCCATTCACCTACACCAATGCAATTAACTTGCAATTGCAAATATAATTAAATATTATGTTTAAATTATAGAAAATTAAGTAAAAGAGAAAACAACTGATTACCTTTAGCAGCACGGCATCGGCAGCGGGGATGGACTCAAACATATCGCCGGCAACATACTTCACGTTGTTACCGCCGTCCTCGAGCCCCGAGACGACATGTGGCAGATCCAGCACCGTACAACTCATCCCGGGGAACGCCTTAGCCACAGCCTTGGCCATGTTCCCGGTCCCACCTGCCACGTCGACGAGGGACCCAACCCCTTCGAACGCCGACCTGCCTTCCTTCACCACCAGCTCAGCAATCATACAGCTGTCCCTCGCCATGGCGTCGTTGAACAGATCAGAGAACACCGCGTCCGTGGCCATGTACTCCCAGGCCATCTTGCCGCCGTGGGTCGAGGAAAACGTCGTCGTATTAACGTCGTCGTCGTCCTTCTCGCTCCGAAACCACGCGCTCATGTGGTGGAACGGCTCGGTGAGGACCGGGTCG